TCTCAGTTTCGGTTAACCATTCATGATGTGTGTGATGGTTAGTAGGGGGACTAGTGGGAGTGGCAGTAGAAGGGGTAGAACCGGAGGGAATTCGGGTACTTTCTTGGCTACCTTGGCTAGAACAATAGTTTTGTTGATTACCGATATAATTAGGTGGAAATTGGTATGGTGGTAGTGGAAATTGGTTTAGTGGTGGTGCTGGAAATCCCGACGTATTATATGGCTCATAGCCCGGGGGGAAGTAAATGGGGTCATTGGTTTGACTCGTAATTTGGGGGCTCGTTGTATTTGGTGGTTCCCTAGAACTACTACTACGGATAAGTCGGCCTTTCCCCCTAGACCTAGATGATGGGTTGTTCGATGCCATAATTAACAATTAATTTTTTAATAAAAAGTGGTTAACTATAATAATAATAATTAATAACAACAATTTTAACAATAAAAATATCAATAATAATAATTAATAACAACAACTATAACAATAACAATAACAACAAAAATAAATAATAACAACAATTGTAACAATAATAATAATTAATAACAACAATTATAACAACAACAATAACAATTAACAACAATAATAATTAAACAAGATTATTCTAATAATAACAATAAAACAATAATAAATTTAAGATTAGTTTAGATCTTACAACCGTGCTTCAACGCTCCACTAATTACGATTACGAACTTTTTAATTTTTTCCGATATTAGGAAAATAATTAGAGAATTTAAGAGAATAATTAGAGAATTTAAGAAAATAAGGATTATTAGAGATTTAGAGAATATAAGAGATAAGAAGAAGAGATTGTGATTTTGTGATTTGGGAATGAAATGGAGGTGAGTATTTATAGAATTTTTGGCAAAAAACTAGCCGTATATAGCCGTTTTATAGCCGTTGGCCCGCGGGCCGTGCCTGCGGGCCAGCACGGCGGGCCATGCCCGTGCTCGTGCCGGGCCGTGCCTGGGAATTCTCCACCGTGTCCGTGGCACGGCCCGTGGCACGGAAGTCGAACTTCGTGTCGTGCCGTGCTTGACTTCGGGCCGTGCCGAGCTGCTCCGAACGGCGGCCGTGCCGGGCGGCACGCGGGCCAACCCGGCCCGTGCCCAGGTTTAAACCTAAGTTTAGTTATCAACGTAACTAATTATTCATTTTTGTTAAGGTTTATCTTTATCCTCTTTAATAGTATCAAATTGCTTAATTATGTAGTATATTCTTAAAAACACATACAATCGACAACAGGAACTTAAATTGACGACTATTAAATATTAATTAATACAATCAAAATCATTAATAAAATATATATAAAAAAATAACTTCCGTTAAATATTACTTTGTATGTGCAATTTTGAAATATTTTATATCTCATAGTCATAGATAATACCCCAAGTTGCTCGTGACATTTCAAAATCATAGGCCGCTAGAAAGTGCCAACATCGACATCCAATTATATCATTTATATGTTGACAATTCAATATTAAGTGGTTTTATTTTAATAATTTTTATTATAATGTTGCCGAACCTGACCAAAATCCAATCAATATCTTTTAACTTGTAATTACTTCTCTCATGATACTGTCTTGTTGCACAAATTTATGTACTGAGACATTAAAGTATGGCGTAACAGAAGACTTACATACTATACTATTTTAATCAAAGTACATGCATTTGCGTATTACATTCAATGCCTAATTATTTTTACGATTTAGTATGTCATCTGTTCATGTCTTGTTTGAAGGTCAAAATACATAAAAGTTTGTTTTCAACATGTATATATCCATTTAAAATTATTTAAAATCTCATTAACCTCCGTCCAATTAATTAAGTTTGGTACAATTGATTATAAAACATGCTAATGTAATAAGAATTGCAAGTGCCCTATCACTTTGTTGCATGTCTTTGGAGTGTTGGAAGCAGTCTCAAGATCGATAGCAATCATTCAATTGTTTTACTCTACATTTGTTATTCAGTACGATTCTCATCTTCAGATTAAAACACCTAACGAGTATATGTAAACTAATTGAGCTAGAGAGATAATAGCAATAGAGACAAAAATATCTAATGAAAACCACAAAAAAAAAACCTTGAAAAATAAATGCCCTCTTGGTGTGGGATCTTAAAAAAGGCAATCGCAATCATAAATTAAAGTGGAGAATTAAATGGCAAAAAAAATGAGCCAATGAAAAGCCAAACGCCTAACGGGACCAAAATTGAAGAGAGCTGGCTGGCAGCCACGCTTGACTTGACGGTAGTCGCCTACATAGTCGGTACCCTTCATCATGGATAAACTTAACCTTTTTTTGTGCGTGTCTACTCTAAAAGCTAAAATTCGATTTGTAACACATTACACATGTATTTAATTTGTAATTTGTCTAGTTTTCTAGACTTTTTATTTGAAAATACTACGGAGTATACATACTCGTACAATTTTATAATATATATATTTTTAAAATAACTTTTCCTTTTGTTTTGACCAATAATTACCTAACGGATTTTTAGATGAAAACTGTTAAGTGGTGATGGTAAAATGTATTTTTTAAAATTTTTGATGGTTTTAAAATGTTTTTTTTTAAGTGTTAAAAACTATTTTTGTATTTTTTATGGTGTTAAAAATTTCTTTAATTAGATCAATTTGGATACAATAAATGGGATCGAACAAAGTTTACATTAAGTTGTGAATAAAGATTAGATAGAGTAAAACTACAAAAAGGTGATAAAAGAGCAGTAATTTGTGTCCAAATGACATATTAAGGGCTTGTTCTGATTGACTGAAGTGAGTTGAACTGAACTGGACTAAACTTATTGAAGCTGAACTGAATTGAATATTTTATGAGAGAAGGAAATTAAAAACTGAACTGAACTTATTGGAACATAACAGAACTGAACTGAAAATAATCTAAAGAGAACAGACCCTAAGTCTACAATATTTGATCAAATAAATGTTGCGGATGTTTGTTGTTGTTTTTCCTCATAAAAGAGCTTTGTAAGCATGCACATCAAATCAAAATGAAAACAATATTTCATAAAACGTGCACATATAGTAAGGATGGCTTGCATATTATGAGGTATATTATACGAAGTGCCTTTCGTAAAGACCTTTTTGAGAATTATGACTAACTCCAATGTTTTTTTTTAAACACTCTTTTTTTTAAAAAAAAAATAATTTATATTCTATTTTTAGTTAAATGTATGACGAGTCGCACCATTAGATCCTCTCTCAATATGTTAGTGACTAGTGAGCTTGTAATGTCCTTTGACAATAGTATATTACTCCGTATGACCTGAAAACACAAGATTCTAAAGAAAATTTTTACCCTAAACTACCTCTAATTTCTACGCCTTTACTAGACCACATTAGAAGAAAATCTAATCGAATACAAGCTCTGCGGTCATGTTAATTTATTTATTTATTTTTTATTTTATATTTTATGTAAAATAGGTAGTAGTTTAGTGATGATCTTATAAGCCCGTCATCTTTTCTCCGTATCCTACGTAACAAAGTAAGTTCAAATTTACCTCATATGTTACCATGTGGGTTACTTTTCCTAACTATGAATTTTATTAGATTTAATCAAGTTCTTAATAGAAGTCAAAATGTAAAAGATCGAAACACTTACTATTTTAACAAGAGGGAGTATAACTAACATCCTAAGAATTTAAATAGCAAACACTTTCAGACCTTCTTAGTGTTATTGGATTGTCAAACTTCATGAATAAACCTCTATATTCTACTCATTTTTTGGCAAATTTGGACTATGTTTAAATCTTACAAGATTTTACAAGCAAAATGAAAAGGTCAAAAGTAGATACAATTATTTGGTTTGATTATTACATAACCTGTAATCATAAACCAAGAATTTTTCTTGGTAAACGAAAGAAATTAAACTAAGTCAAAATTGAGTAGTGTTGGCTAGACACTGACAACCTTTTATTTGTTTATTATCTGACTATTTCGGCATTTCCACCATGTTGGGATTGAATAAAAAGTCCAATTTGACCAAGGATTACCATTTATTACTCCTATAACAAGTCAAAATTAGCATGCAATTATTAATTTACTAGACCAAGGATTACCATTCACTTGATTTAACGACTACTACGTATTACGGAGTATGGTATCTTTTAAGTTTTGAAAATAGTGGTCGGTCTAACTTGTTATAGTTTTTATTTCGTATAGATATAATAATTGTCACTTATCAAAAAAAAGAATGGTAGATCGATTATATTTATATGAAGGAATCTCACTCGTTGATCCGAATTCAAAATCAAACTCAAAATTGATTGATTTGCGAAAGGTTTAAGGCATTTCGTGAGAATTAATACATCAAGAGAGACTATAAATTAAATGAAGTATAAGTCTCACCAACAACCATCTTCCAAGTTCATTCAAACATGACATACTGGGCTTAATATTGAAGCTTACTCTCACAATAATGGCTCATACTTTTCTGGGCCTATTGGGCCTATGTACTTGTTGTACCTTGTACCCAGTTTCTTCTATGACTAGAGCAAAGAATGATAGATAGGTGTGTAGACGTATAGTTGTATACTACATATGCTAAAAAAGTAAAAAGTGAAAGACACCAAAATTTTGGTTGGCAACATAGAATTATCATAACTTATTACTACGACTATACGTAGTAAACTAGTAATACAATTAAATAACGTGGTTCTCTCTACACCAAAAATTACGCAGTTAAATAACGTTACATGATAAGAGTGCGTTTCTATTATAGATGGTCACCTTATTACTTGGCCATCTCGACCCAAACTTCTACTAATCTAATTTTCTTTTAAACATTAATATTGCACCAATAATTGACAATAGGACCAAAATTGGCCCAACATCTTTGGTCCAAACTCTGGCAATGAATAACTTGTCATACATAATCAAACGAAGGATGTCCAAATATATATGTAGCAAATGTTCATATAAGTGCCTTAAACTTGCAAAAACCTAAATGAAATTTCATATTAAATCTCAAAGTTCTCAACAATATACTTTTATGAAACACATTAACAAATGGGGTAAGAAATATACTTCGATATATGCACAAACTTACATTAATTGTAATCATTTACAAATTTGTTGTGTGATTGACCAATCTCAGATCAGAAAAATAGAACTAAAGGATATATTAAAAAAAAAAAAAGGGTATGTGTCATAAGACCTGGCCTATATCTCTAAAAATTTAAATTATCATCTCAGTTATCACTATTGCAAAGCTCTCTGAACTTTGGTTCTAAACAACAAAATGCACAATTTCTCCATTGAGAAGTAGAGGAAGCAGCCAGTTGCATGAGTAACAAAGGACCCAAAACTCGAGCCCACGATACAATGCCAAGCGGGCCCATATACCTTATCAAACTCCTGCAAAAACCCAATGTTAACGGTATTAGCTATGATGTATACGAGATTTGATCTAAATTTAAACTTGATAAAATAACACATTCTAAAATTACACGAGTAACCAATTCAACTAAGCTTATTGACATTCACATGAAATTAAAAATGTTGGGAAAATAATAGGAAAAGGCCCATATATAGTGACTACTGACAGCACATGGAGGGTGACTAAGGTAAGGCATATTAAATGTACTAAAAAAAAATAGGCAAATACTGACAAGTTACAAATTCCAGTAATTATAGAGGATAGTTAACTATTCATCACAAGTCATTAGTCATAACACATGGGTTGTTGGAAATGGATCTTTCCTAATCTCAAGTTAATTGAATTAGTACCACTAAAAATAACTATTTATATGCATGGCATCTTGCTATTTAGTAAGGGATAGCAATTATCAAGTGGGGACCAAATATGGAGGGACTAGATTGAAGCAAAAGTTGAGATCTAGATTGTTGTTCATTTCATTTTTTCATTATTGGTCTTGATTGTTTGGTCAATTTGACCAATTTATTGTCTACTATTCAATGTTTTTGTGATGAGGAGATCATAAGATGGGATCTTCATATACTAGTATTATACAAACAAGGTTTTTTTTTTTTTTTTTTTTTTTTTTTTTTTTTTTTTTTTTTTTACACTTCTAGGTTCATAATGGCTTGATATAACACATGATTGTTGCAATAATTTCAACATTATTAGATAAAAGAATAGAAGTTATTCTAGTTAATTAGTTTTCGAAAAGTGTTATCTTGCTTAGGAATCGAATATCATCTATGTCAAAAGTCATTGCCTTTATGGTAATTTTATACAAAGTAAATATAAAAAAAGATATAATTTTTTTTTTAAAAAACCATAATTTCACAAAGAATCAAGGAGATGTTTGGCTCATTATAGTATACAAGGGAAATACACAGAGATAAACTCAACATATAACGCGTGCTTGCACATACAAATTTTGATATGAGACAGACTCATTACACTGCTACACGACTAGCTACTCATTATAAAATAAACAACAATAACTTTTTACTTTCTAGGAAAATAACTTTGGTGTCTACCTCATCTACAAATTGGTGATAAATTTGATGTTGATTTCTAAACTCTCTTATCTAGAATACATTCTCTAACTCTAAAAATGACTATGTTCATAAGAAGTGTCACATACCATGCATGCGTAATTGATGAGTGAGACAGACAGTAGAAGTTCTTTGAAAGCAGTTGATGTGTATAGTGGCTAAGGAGTGACCACTATCTCGTGTAAGCATTAAATTTAGTTGGACAAGATAAAATGGGAAAAACCACAGATCCCATGTGCTGCATATTCTTGCAGTATAGTACTTGTGGTCTTGTGGAATTTGTCTAAACTCTATAATATTTAGCTTCATAGGTGAAACCAAACATGTGAAATAACAATAACGAGCTATGAACGAAAAATGATGCAGACGAAAGTTGATCACAAGTTTTAAGTACCACCTAACCTGCCTCTGAATTAGCTGGTATGTATTCATGTTTTAAACCTACCTCTAAATATTCATGTTTTAAACTTACCTCTAAACCTTATGTTTTGGATTAATGTAAACATAAAGATTAAAGAGGGATAATAGTGTCATTATTTGCTTAGCTTAATTGGTCTATTTGAGTTTTAGGTAAGCTTTTCACTCATTTTTCTTCCTTGTTATTATTCCTAGATTGTCTTCACAATAATAATGTCATTATTATCACCTTCATCTAATTAACAACGGAAAAAAAAAAACAATACACTCCCTTCATCTTTAAATGTTGTTTCTATGTTGACTTTTCATTTTTGTTAAGGCAATCAAATGAAACAACATTCAAAGACGAAGTTGTACATGTACGTCAGAATTATTATAATAATCTTTAAATTAGACTTACCTTCTTCAAGTTGAAAGCAATATGCTTGGCACTGAATTTCTCCAAACTATCATAAGTATTTCTTGCACATTGAAAAGCTTGAATTTGCATAAAAGCAGGCATATCAGTTACCAAAACCTTAACTTGCAACAATGCAATGGCAGAACCCATGTCATTTTCCAATTTTGCCCCTGTTGATTTCCTTGCTTTTTCCACAAATTTCCCAACATAAGCCACATTATTTTCAACATGAGAAACAGATTTCCTTGCTCCTTCCCCTTTCCCTTGTAATAAATCCTTTGTTATTGGGAAAGGGAATTCCTTTTCCTTTCCCTTTCCCTCTATTTCTTCACTATTAGAAGTAGATTTCCTCCCTTCTATAATATTATTTACCTTATTACTTTTCTCATTACTTTTTACCAAACTCAACAATATACCTTCTACACTTGACACTGATTTCCTTTCATTTCCCTCCAATTCCTTTTCCTTTTCCAGCTTCGATTTGGGTTTCGATTTTCTTAGACCACCCCATACACTAGAAGAAATAATTCTTTTTGTCACCGATGTCGCCGGAGTTTGATACTCCGGCGTCCGGCTACCCGTGGCAAACTTGTACACATATAAATTCCCTTTCTTTTGCTTCTCTAGTGATGTTGCATTCATATTTTTCTTTTTTTTTGTTTGAGAGACTTTACTATATGTTTTGGTATATGGCACAATATTTTTTTGGGTGTTCCTAAGGTGTATATATAAATGTGCATAGGAAGTGACACTATTAAGGTATAATAGCCTAAAAAAAAGGGTTGGCCCATCATTTAAATATATATATAAATAAATAAAAATAATAATGATATATTCATATATATTATGATGATTTAAGAAGTTGGGTGAAAAGATGATTAATTAATGTAGCAGACCATGTGGTAGTGCCAATTATCAAGGATCACATAAAGTGGGTTGGTTGTGGAGAAGGATGAATTTGTGTAATTTAATTAACAAAAAATATTTTAATTAATTAATTATTTTTAATATTATGTAATGAATTGATTAATTTTTGTTTTTATTATTCTTGATTTAATATAATATGAAATAAATCATAGGAATTATGATGGTATACTGACCAATTGGACCCCTTTTGGTGGAGTATATTTGTCAGGAAATCAGCAATGTTTCTGAGCTCCCTAACAAAAGACATTGCCCTACCACATTTTTTTGTTATCATTCCTTTGAACAATCAACTCTTAGAATTAAGAAATTGACATTGAGTTTAATTTAGCTTGAATTTTTACTAGAATTAAAGTGTTTGAATGTGTTTGGGGTAGCATCAATTCAAAGATGATTTATTTTCATTGTTATTGCATTTAAAAAATTATGAACCCTATTGAAAAGATATGTGTTTCGCACACTGATACATATTTATACAATTGATTTAAAATGTTTTTTTTAAGCATATCATTATGATGAGGAAAACGCATGTACTATTGAATTTGAGACCTAGCATGTGTAAGGCAAGGTACCTTATCACCAAATCAATGAATTTCGTTTCGCTCTTATTAAGTACTCCGTGATTAATAAACGATTTACATCAATCTATTTTCACGAAACTTACCTGTCTAGTAAAAGTCATACTACAGTGTAACAATATTTATCCTTTAAATTAACATTCACGATGCTGTCACAATTATTGTTAGGGCCCATGAATTTGTTTATTGCATCTGTTTAACATTCATGAACTACATTTAAGACTGATTAATGTGAAAAAATATAGATAAAAATGAAATACAATTGATGACAAACAAAGAAGTGAGAGTTATTAGCAAGGGGTCCTGCACTACTACTGCAAACGTAGTACTGTAGCAAATTTAGCCTTATTAATAATAATGTGATTTAATTTTGGGAGTTAGTGCAAAAAAAATGGACTGCCAAATTAAGGGCATGAAGTAAGCAGAAAACAATTAAATAGGTAGCCTCTCATTTTCACGGCCCAAAACAAATTGAAAGTGTCGATGAAATTATAGACAAAAGAAGAAATAGTACAATATTTCATGCCAGTTATTAGCTATATGTAGAATTCACCATAACATTTCTGCTGAAATTTAGGGCTATTAGCTACGCAATTTGGCGATTAGCTTAGCACTAGCTAGCATGATATCGACTTAGCCACAAGTACTTATTTTTCCGCTTAGTCAATAATATAAAGTACGAATTACAAAGTATTCGTATTAATAAGCCATGATGTTTGAGAGGTCTATTATTCTCTCGAGTGTAATTAAATTTAATTTTAAGTAGTATATTTGATCACCAAACAAACAGCCATAATAATGTCCATTTTAATTTGCACAAAACTGTTTTTTTAATGGAAATGCAAAATTGTTCATTTTTTACTTGTTTTGAAAAAAAGATCGAGTATGAGAAATTTGAATGCAAAAGTCTTGTTTGCTTACTTTTATCAAATTCACCTTATTATTATTGTATATTATAATTTTAATTGATTTGAATTGAATTGCCTTATGAATTAGGCATGTCCGTACCAAAATTGATACTTGAATATATTTAGGCGTTTCAATGTCAACTGAAACGTGAACATCAAAAAATGAACTGTATTCATCTATAAACTTGTTTCAATGAAATATAAACAGCAATAATATTTCCCAATCAAAAAGTTCGAATTTGACTTCACAATAATGTGTTTGGCTATAGTACACTCCATTGCTAAGAACACTAAGTTATCTATGGAATTAAGAACAATTTACGTAGGGTCGTAGGGACGGGTGGATAGCTAGAGTATCCAAGTATCGACCACTCAATGATTTGGAGCATCCAAGTATCCAAATTCCAAACAAGGATGACCTTAGCCCTCCCCTATATGCTTCAAAACCACATAACAAGAGCAACCAAAATCATCTCACAATTGTTGCAAATAATGGAAAATTGACCATACTTCCATTTTCTCCCACATAAGAAAAGATAGGATAAAAATGTAGGGTCAATTTATATGTTACTAGCTAAAAGAGATTCATAATTTGTTTTTATTTTTGTCCTAGTACACTTGTATACTTTTTATTTATTTATTATAAGCCTGGTTTCATCCTAAATTTAATTGACGATAAGAAAGTAATCCAACAATTAATCTTACATGTTAGTAATTATCTCTCTATTTCTTCAATGTACTGCGTGGAACACTACCACTCACATATAGATGGGCTATAATTAAGTTTATAGCTTAATCAAACAAACGAGTTCTTCAAATGTGGGACAATTACTTTTACTCTCATGTATACGCAACGAGATTAAAGTGTAAACTACTGCTGAAATGTTTTTTCCGATATGGAGTAATCAATTCCCTATTTATATTGCATTGCACGACTTTGCTGCTTTGCACCCCCAATATGCCAATATGGGTATACTATGTTAAAAATTGTGCATTTCAATTCTTTTGATGCACACATAATTGCGTAAAATATGTCCTACGATTAGGCTTAATATTGGGCAAAAATCATGGTAATTGAGCAACCCACTAGCATAATATATGTGTAGACTTTTTTCCCTTTGCAGTTTTTGGAAGTAATTAAGTTAGAAAACGTACTATATATGATCTATCCACTTTTTAGGCTATAGATAAAACGTACTTCCTAATGCACTTCCGGAGGAATGTTAGTTTTGGTGTTCGGCGAGGGAACACCAGTGCACATATAAACAACCTACATGAACAAATTAAAGGTCTGATAATCCAATGAAGGATTATTCATGATGCCTTAATAATGGCATGACATATTGACATGGTAGTTCTTGAACATAAATAGGACAGATAGACATATTAGTCACGTTGTTGGAAGTGAAACTAGCTACTTTAATTTTGCCCTTAACTCATTCGTGTTAGTTTTAGCACTTTAATTCCGATGCACCCCAACAATAAATCATCGCCTTTTCATTTTAATTTCCTGTTTTTTCTTTTATAAACAAAAAACCAAAAACAAAGGAAGAAAAATGTATTTCTACTTTTCTATTATCAGTTTTAAAAATTATCATGTTTTTAAATGAGTTTTATAAATTTTTAATTCATTAGATGACATACATCATATAATTTTAAAAAACAAAAAACCAAAAAATAGAAAACCATGCATAACAATTCCAATTAAACGAACCCAAACTGCACCCAAGGCCTTGTGCCTACATGATCAACATGGACATGACTAATAATTTTGGGAATTTATTGGAAGATTTGTTGTTGCCTTGTTGTTTTTCAATTCAATTCCATACATATATACCTAATTTATATTTTAATAGAAGAGATGAAGAAGGGAATGATGTGAGCTCCTCATTTAAAAAGTAAAAACCCTAAAAATAAAATTTAAAAATTTAAAAAATAAAAAGGCATACTAGGAATCATTGTCCGGTGAAAAAAGACAATCTAGATCAACAATCTGTGGTATGAAGTATGTTAGTAACATTATAAAAGTAAAAAAGTTACCCAGATTTTGACAATTTTTAGGACCACTAGCAATTAACTGAAATATGCATGAGTCATAAAGCTAGCTTCTTATTGTCATCAATCACCATGAACTAACAAATTGACTTCTCTATTGAGTTTAAGTGTACTTTCTATATCCTAGGAAAAAACCAACCAACATTTTAAAATTTTGAGCTGAGCTGATAACGATCTAATCGGTGCATAATACTTGCTTATTAAGTACTAAGAAAAAAATGACCAAGAAAAGTTAAGTGTGTTGGGTTGAACACACTTAATATTACTAGGATGGTTATCGCGTACAATGCGCGTGTTATATCTAACCATGATGACTTTGTCCTTGCTGATAAGCCTTTTTAAAGGTCAATATCAAAAGTAAGTTATGATGAGCATGTATCTATGGACTCCAATTCGAATCTACATGTAAATGATTTCACAATCAACATTGATTGATTATTTCATATTCATCAACACGTAGTCAAATAATTCATGCACATAGTAAGGTTGTTGTAAGAATTTAAAATTATTGAATAATAGATGGAAATCTTTATGATTGTCAGCTAACTTCTCAAAGTTGAATGGAGTCTAAATTAGCAATAGAACATAACCATAAAACACCAATACATAGCCTAACAACTAAAGCTTAGCCTATTTGAAATGGTAAAAGTTTGAACAAACACGAAGGTATTTAATGATACTCTTTTGTTTCTAAAACTTTGCATGTAAAAGTAGTTGATATATATTACTTTGTTCAGTTTTCTTTCCTAAAACTATAATGTTCAACAATGTTGAATAAACATATTAAATGAACATCTTTTTTCTCAATTGAGAAATTTGATGTTGAAGAAGCAACTTGTACTAAAGGGTCCATTTCTCTACACCTAAAACGGAATCGAAAATCCTCTTCACGCAACAAGTAAAATGGAGAATTCCCTCACCTAAGATGTAAACTAGTACACTAGTAGTAAGATCTATCTCCTTAGGGTGTCCTAGGTCGAGTTAGATAACGGAGTAAAAGTCATCAAGTTTAGGTGTTTTCATTCCAAAACTAGCATCTTATTTAATTAAATTAACGTGAAAATACCTTTACATATGCCTGAATTGTCAAAAAGTCCGATCTCTGAAAGTATTTTGTCATTGCTCGCTATATCCAAGAGCAAAAAGGCATGCAAGTAGTTCGGTAATAAATATCATTCTCTACATACGTACATACTCTAGTTAGCTAACCATTATATATAATTGGCTAACTACCTAGAGTATATTGACATTTCTTTATGAAATTCAAATTGTTTAATTTCTCTGCTTTTTGCCTTATGTTAGCTCAATTTTGAAAGAAAAATGAGAAAATTGCAGAAATAGGGGTTCCTTGCAGCCCAAAGCAAGCGCGATAAACAAGTTTGTGTGGCTTTGGACTGAAGGGAGCTCCTAATTCTTCTGTTTTCCCTGGTCGTTTGGTTGTTCGTTTGCATGTTTTCGATCAACCATCAGCTCGATCGAGCTAAGTAAACAAGTGCTGCGCCCCTTTGTGGCTTACATACCTTATATCAACACTTGGAGTAGTCGATATCACTTATCAAGGTACTACTGCATGCACGTTTTTTTGGTGAGGCTTGAACTTGTGACCTCAAAGTCACAAGATGAGTTTCCCACCAAGTCCATCAAATTTTGCTTGGTATGTAATGTATGCATAATTGTACATACTATACATGCAGTATTATTTGATCTTATTTATAGGTATGTACTGCTTTTACTTTTTAGAGTGACATTGTTTTTTGTGTTTTGAGATCTAATGTGCACATGTCGTCTTGTAATTGGCTCGCCATGCATCAATCGTAATATTTTTATATTATTATTACTATCGTTAGTCAATAAGTATTAATATTAGTCATGCATGCATTAAGTTGATTAATTGTCTTTTATTAGAGGTGAACTATGACCCTATGTTTGTTAGGAGTCTACTAATCGATCGACCAACAGAGATCGAGCCTGGCCATTCCCAGCTAACCCTTATCTCCCAAGCGACGGCTCGTGGTGGGAGTTGATGATCAAGTTATACAGAACATGGTAGAGCACTAGAGCCAACCAGCAACCACACATAGTGACATAGAGAATTAGATGCTTAGATGAATTAATTAATGAGTTATTCTAGCTCGATCAAGCCTTAGAAATTAAGGATTGGAGGTAATTTAAATAAAATCAGTCAAAGTAATGGCCTAATCTGTAATCTCGTGGGCCCATTCCAATTCAAAGAGGGCCTTACCGACTAAATTTAAGCTCACAAACTTGTATATCACTCATATATGAACTACTCCCTTCGTTTTTAATTATTTGCTCTACTTTTTATTTTCGACCGTTTTTAAATACTTGCTTCTTTTTCTTATTTGAAAAAGTGAAAACTTTAACAACTTTTAATTCATTTATCTCAACTAGCAAATTTATGTGATCACTTTGTACAACTGAATTACAAAACTTAAATGATGGATTTATATCTTACTATTGTAATTGGTATAGTTTAAAGCATGACAAAATGAAATGAAGACAAGATGTGTGAAATGGGGAAATCTAAAGACAAAATGAGACAAGGAGTCAAGGAATGTAAAAAAATATAGTTCATGATCATGCATTTTTTTTCTTTTTTCCAAGAGATTCATAAAGGGGAGATGTGTAGATGAGATCTGGTCCCAGATAAGTCGGTCTTATGTACCATTCCTCAAGACATTTAACAAACTAGCTAGCTAGTTAGTAACTTGGTATCAACAATGTAGTACACTTATAAACTTGATCTTTCTACAAAAACCGTTTAACAAAAAATTGTTGTCAATTATTTAGAAATTGCTGAAACGTGGACAATATCGATTGGGCAAGTCGCGTCTTAGTGGGACCACAGGAAGATTATCACAGTCGCAAATCTCAATCACAAAACCATCTGGGTCATGGAAGAAGAGCTGATCAACGTGAATTCCACCTTCAATCACCCTGTTTTTAACATGTTCTATTTGCATCTTGTCTAGCTTCTTTTCTACCGTAGCCATGTTTTCGCACTGCAATAATATCATTTCATTTTGTCAATGTGTGCGTAATCATGCATTGTAGTAACTCTATAGAACATTTTTAGTAGTTAACGTTATGAACATACCATAAAATTGTCCATTAACACGTGTGGAATTTAAAATATAACGATATTTAAAAAGCATAGGTTGTACCGTTGTATGTCAAATTATGTAGTCGTAGTTATAACCAAAATTTCAAACCAAATTCATAGAACATAATTGAAAGAAGAAGAAAATGAAAGGTAAAAAGAAAAGAAACGTACTATGAAGGAGATATGATTGTCCTTGGGATTAATCACTTTAACATCCAATTTGCCATTTGATTCATCATTGCACTCTAGCAAATGAATGCCAATACCATAGTTAAACAACCTACAACAACAAATTAAGGTCAACCAACAAGTAAACTTAAAATTCGAGAAGATAAATGATGCACTTATAAAGAGAAACGTTTTTTTATGCTTACCAAGCACCAGGAAAATCTAAAGACCCTGGTCGTCTAATTGAAATAAATCCAAGGACATTTTTGTAAAAATCAAGAGATTTTTCAACTGAACGACACCGGATTGAAATGTGATTTAAGGATACTAAACGAAGAGGATTCTCTATGTTTTCTATCGTCATGATATGTTCTTCTTCGCACGTTGATTCAACCATGTACTTATATGTAATATATCACTAATCTAAGAAAAAGAAAATCAAAGAATTAATGGTGTTTCAACAATCTAAAAATTTATAGTATATATAGAATGAAGAAGTAAGAATCAAAAGAAAATAATTGATGCTTTGACAATGTCTTATGTACGTAAATGTCGAAGACGAGTACATGTTTCATACGCCGGTCCAAAATATAATAAAAAAATAATAATGATTAACTCACGTAGATTTCCGCGTTGGAAATCAAATAAGCTAACCAGCTGTTCCCATTAGATCGACACGGTTAAGTACATGATTTGTTTTGATTAAATTAATTTTTTTCATCAAAACGTTAATTATAAAATAAGGACATGGTTTACACATTCAATAAGTATAAGATAATTAGCTTATCTCAAATGTTAACTAGTTTTGTTGACATGGTATAATCCATGTATGTCATTTCTCAATAATTAATGTCGTGGCATAGGATAAGAAAACGACGATGGTGACAAATTAATTTCGAGTGCATAGTAAGCATTGTGCATCCGTGTCCTAATCTGCAAATAAAGTATGTCATACATTCATAGGAGTGTAGCACTACTTCTAAAGAATGGATCAACTAAAACCTATCAAATGTCATGCTAGATCAACTAATTTGCTGATCACGTTTATAAAAGAGTCAACGACCAACTAAATCACTAAATTTGTTGGAAGGTTATTAAGAATTTTTTATAAAAAAAATGATTATGAAGATTTAAATATGTGATTTCCAACAACAATATGAAAGTAACAAAAAAATTCTCCCATAATATAAAGTACTTTTTTGTTTAAGTATGGTTAAATGTTAAAATATATACAATGATATTTTGGTAAAATTCAAGGGATGAATTTTTGACAAGTAACCATAATTGAAATGTAATTTAAGAATATTAGACCAAGTGAAAATTCTTTTGTCATAAAAAATTTATACAACATGATTAGTTTTGATAGGACTTTACTTAATGAAAACTAAATGTATATATATATATATATATATATATATATATATATATATATATATATATATATATATATATATATATATATATATATATATATATTATAAGTAAATTAACTGTAGATAGATGTTTGACTATAAACAAATCAGGGAAAAAAAAAAAAGAAAAAAAAAACCCTACTATAATGCATGTTATACACTCAATAGACATAATAATAATCAAGTAATAACTAACAAAAGTCAAGTCTTATACGAGTACAAGTAGATTTCCCACGTTATGATGCGAGATTGCGAGGGATACAGGTATTCACGTAATCAAGTTGTTTATTTTAAACTCCATGTTATCTACGTTCACTTTGTTTAATTAATAATCAGTTAATCACAACCCTACTAAACACATATATATCCAATATAATATTTCATATTGTTAGATTTTCATACGTACACTCAATAATTCATTTAAGACAAGGATAATTGGAATGACATATAACTTCAAAACAAAGTTTCATACAAAAAAGTAATTGATTTTGAAAAGAAAAAATCATTTAACTAATAAAGTACTCCATTTCTGATCTGTTTAAGACAAGGGTAATTGGAATTACATATACAAAAAAACAATTGATATTGAAAAGAAAAAATCATTTAATTAATAAAGTACTCTATTTCTGATCTAAATAAGCAACTATGGAGTACGAGATAAAGGATGTTAATTAGTAAAAACATTCATTGTAAATTACATTCGAATGTTAGGAATGACATTCAAACCTTTAATTTTATTTAAACAATCAATAAATAATTAGAATTATTGCTCGATTACTTAGAGTAGGAGTACGTAGCCTAATGGAGTACCCTAATCAAATAATCAAGAGTGAGAGTTCGATAAATTTTCCTATCCAGATTTATATACTACCTCATTTAAATGTTATGTGCAACTTTGAGGTATTATTTGTGAGATATAAAATATTCCAAAGTTGCACAACATAATATTTAACGGAGGTAGAATATGATTACTCTATATATCTTCCTGAATTGTGGCAGAGCTCTACTTCATTTTGAAACTTTAATTTCAAAGATTGGTTCAACTTAAACCTTAATTTCAACTTTCAAGATCAAGCAGACGGCTGATCAAGACTATATATTAATTAAAAACAAGTACTAAATTTGTTAGAAGCATAATACTAATTCAATCAAACTAAGCTACTCCGTACAATTTTGTGGTAGGTTAATTAGCTAGCATGAGTACAATCTATTTTACTTTGGAATACAGCATAATTTATTTTCGTTTTTATATATGTGTCTAATTAAGTATATTTATTTTCGTTTTTATATATGTGTCTAATTAAGCATAATTTATTTTCGTTTTTATATATTAGCATAAGTATATTTTAGAAAGATGGTCCTGTGAGCCAAAGGAAATAATTTTACAATAATCATATATTCGTATACACGTAGATTTTGTGTTGATTCCTTGATGGTATGGTAATTTTCAATGTATATCTTATGACATAATTCGATAGTTGCACAGCAATAATCTTATAAAAAATTTATGTAAGGTGGAAAGAACTACTCGTGTTCGGAACTATATTTTTTTTTACAAACATAATTTTTTTCTTATAAAAAATTTATGGTGCAAAAGAGGGGCAAATCTCAAACAAAAAAAAAAGGGTAATGGTAACCAATAATAAGCATATACTACCTCTACAATATCATCATAGAGAATACAACGAACTACCGAAACTGTGTATAATTCCTTTATTCAAATTATAATTGCATCATATTACAACGAATTTTTTATTTTTTAATTTTTTAATTTTTTTTGAGAAAGTACGACGGGATTTTTTATCTTATACAACAACATGAGTCGCCAAGGCAATGTGAATGTGGAGCTTGCGCCCCTCCACAGCTTGAGATACATTCTCCATCAGAACATCCTGGATCTGGTGTGCAACGACCACCTACTCCAAGTACTCCGATTTCTTGAGGTAACCTTGAGCTCGTAGCATTAATTCCTGCTCTCATAAAAAAGAATTTAAAGTACTCGATATTAATATATAAATTATGGTAAAATTATAATCCTTGTGATGATCAATGAATGTTCAATTAATTAAGTGATTACTTTTTCTAATATACATATATAGTTAGTGTAAAGTGTAGACTAAAAAAAAAACAAACTAAAATTTAGGCATTTGCACTTACCACATGATAAAATAACTAATAGCACCAACATGAGAGTCATAAATGATGTTTTTCCAGCCATTTTTGTAAATAAGATTAGTATTATAGAGATGTGATGAGTATGTTTTTTAAACTTAGTTTTGGCTCTTTATATACTTGTAATTGTTGTTTATGTTATCTGTAGTTATAAATCTCTATGATTTACTCCCTAAAAAATTGAAATCTCTTTATGATTTACTGTCTAATATATGTAAATCTCTATTTTTTTTTTTTATTTTTTTTTTGACAAATGCAAATCTCTATGATTTACTCCCTAAAAAAAATTTAAATCTCTTTATGATTTACTGTCTAATATATGTAATACTCTTATGATTTACTCCTTATCTAGCTACTTTATGCAATATCCTTTTGAATGTTCACAAATTGAATACCATCATCTGTAATATCCTTATAGACCCTCACAAATTCAAGATCATGATCCTTAATATCCTTTTGGACCTTCACATCATTGCATGATCATCAGTTCATCACCTATATCAGTTATATCCTTTTGGACCTTCACAAATTATTTGTAATATCCTTTTGGATCTTCACAAATTCAAGATCATCATTTGTATTCTGTAATATCATTTTGGCAATCATGATTTCTTTCCCATTTATTAAATGAATTATTTTGAACTAAAAATACTACTTCTTTTTGTTGGTTTGTCTTTAATCACAATTTATCAAATTGAAAATTAGTAACGAATTGGAGTATTTTAATTATAAAAAAATGATGATAATATATATATCCTTGAGTATGTAAAAACATCTCTAAATCTTTTATATATATATTCCCGAGTTTTTAGAAAGTCACGTAAAATTTTCTTAACGAGCCACGTAAAATATAAAGTTTAGTGGTAGCCAATAAAATACAACATTATTAATCTTTTAAAATTATAATTTAAATGACACGTAAGCTAAATTGTCGAATGAGATTTTTCCAGTTTAAATTAATTAAATAAAATATTATCTTTTGATATCAGGAATTTTATCTAAATATATAACAAATTTTAGCATATATATATATATATATATATATATATATATATATATATATATATATATATATATATATATATATATATATATATATATCAAAAAAGAATGAGACTAAAAGAAATGTTAAGGAGAAGCTTCAAACTTGGAGCTAGAAAATGTTTCTATATTCTCACCCAAAACCAACTCATTTATTGTACAATTAACATAAATTAGCGCAACATTTATTAAATAACTTAAACCAAGGGGGAGGCCAAGGCCCACCCCAACCCCCCTTGGTTCCACCTCGATTGAAAACTAAAGCAAGTAAATTTCAGTCAATAACCCAAGTGGACTATTCTTCTTATCGCTAGAGCTGTCAATTCGGGTAAATGGGTCGGGTTTGGGTCGGGTCAACTCGAGTCAGGTCAGTTCGGATTAATTCCATAACCTATGCGGGTCGGGTTTGAGTTGGGTCATGCTTGAGTCGGGTCACGTCAGGTCATACAACTTATCGGGTTTGAGTCGGGTTAATAATAAGTTGGGTTACATTCGGGTCGGGTGAACAATAGGTCGGGTTTAATTTGGGTTTTCACGGGTTAAAACGGGTTAGAGACGAGTTCGGTTCAAGTCAATAATTTGCGGGTTAGAATCAGGTCGGGTCATTCTCGGGTTTGAGTCGGGTTCGGTTCAAGTCAATAATTTGCGGGTTATAATCAAGTCGGGTTATTCTCGAGTTCAAGTCAAGTTCGGTTCAAGTCAAAAATTTGTGGGTTATAATCGGGTTGGGTCATTTCCAAGTCAGGTCATTCTCGGATTCAAGTCGGGTTATGTTCAAGGCAATAATTTGCAGGTTACAATCAAGTCGGGTCATTTCCAAGTCAGGTCATATTCGGGTTCAACTAACTAATAGATAATTGTCATTTTTATTAAGCTAATTATTTCCTTTGACTATAATATATATGGCAATATACTAGGGAACTATAGTCTATAATTTAGGAAGATAATTATCTCCTTTGACTATACAACAAATATATACTATAACTCTTAAATTTGAGGATGATGCTCCTTTCTTTTGCTGGCCTAAACCGACTTGGTCTCCCAAAACAAAATGCTTTGATCAATAAAAATAAGGTGGTCTAAAGTCTAAATTGCATTTAAGGTGATTTGAAATCGGGTCAGGAATAATTTGAGTTGAATTTAGGTCGGGTCAATAACAAGTCATATTAATTTCGAGTCTAGTTAGTAACAAATCAGGTTGAATTTTTGGATCGGTTAAGTAATAAGTCTGGTAAAATTCGGGTTGGGTCAATAACAAGTCGGATTTAATTTAGGTCAAGTCAATAACAAGTCGGGTTGATTTCGGGTCGGGTTTATAACAAGTTAGGTTAAATTCGGGTCTGGTTGAATTCAGGTCGAGTTAGTAACAAGTCGGGTTAAATTTGGGTTTTGACAGGTTAAAACGGGTTTGGGTCAATTTCGGTTCAAGTCGAGTTCGGTGCAAGTTAAATTGGCCGTTGTAAACCGGTAAATCGATGCAAGTTGTAAACCGGTAAATTGGCCGTTTAAAGGCAAATTGGATGGTTACACCCACCCAATTGGACTCCCGGAGGGTATTAGGGACCATAATAAACATTTCGGCAATTTTTATTCCGGGCGAAAAAAGTCAAAGATTTCCAAAATTGAAGTCATGTCCACGCTTTTTGAGAAATTTTGGAGGTTTCGGGACCCGATGTCACAAAGTCTTGATATTTTAAGGAATACATCCGGTGGTCATATAATGCCGTTTAGAACCATATATGATCATTATATGTTGTCATAGATGTTCGTGGTAGGCTTGAGTTAATGAAATCGGTGCAAGTTGTAATCCGATAAGTTGGTCGTTTAAAGGCGAATTGGATGGTTCCACCCACCCAATTAGACTCCCGGAGGGTATTAGGGACCATGGTAAACTTTTCGGCATTTTTTTTCGAACGAAAAAAAGTCAAAAAATTCCAAAATTGAATGCTAATATCCACGCTTTTTGAGAAATTTTGTAGGTTTCAAGGCCTGGTGTCGAAAAGACTTGAGATTTTAAGGGATACATCTCGGGGTCATATAATTTCGTTTGGAACCATATATGGTCATTATATGTTTTCATAAATGTTCGTGGTAGGTTTGAATTAATGAAATTGGTGCAAGTTGTAAACCAATAAATTAGACGTTTAAAGGCAAATCAGATGGTTACAACCACCTAATTGGACTCCTGGAGGGTATTAGGCACCATGGTAAACATTTAGGCAATTTTAATTTCCGGGCTAAAAAAGTCAAAAAATTCCAAAACTGAAAGCTAAGATCCACGCTTTTTTAGAAATTTTGGAGGTTTCGAGGCACGGTGTCGAAAAGCCTTGATATTTTAGGGGATACATCTAGAGGTCATATAATGCCATTTGGAACCATATATTATCATTATATGTTGTCATAAATGTTCGTGGTAGGCCTGATTCAATGAAATCGGTGCAAGTTGTAAAATGGTAAATTGGTCGTTTAAAGGCAAATTGGATGGTTCCACCCACCCAATTGGACTTCTGAAGGATATTAGGGACCATGGTAAACATTTCGGCAATTTTAGTTTTCGGGCGAAAAAAGTCAAAAAATTCCAAAATTGAAGGCTAATATCTACGCTTTTTGAGAAATTTCGAATGTTTCGGGATCTGGTGTCAAAAATAAATGAGATTTTAGGGGATACATCTTGGGGTCATATAATGCAGTTTGAAACCATAAATGACCATTATATGTTGTCATAAATGTTCGTGGTAGGCTTGCGTTAATGAAATCACTACAAGTTGTAAACCGGTAAATTGGTCGTTTAAAGGCAAATTGGATGGTTCCACCCAACCAATTGAACTCCCGGAGGGTATAAAGGACCATGGTAAACATTTTGGCAATTTTTATTTCCGGACGAAAAAAGTCAAAAAATTCCAAAATTGAAGGTTTCGGGACCCAGTGTCGAAAAGACTTGAGATTATAGGGAATACATCTCGGGGTCATATAATGTCGTTTGGAACCATATATGATAATTATTTATCGTCATAAATGTTCGTGGTAGGCTTGACTTGATGAAATCGGTGCAAGTTGTAAATCGGTAAATTTGCCATTTAAAGGCAAATTGGATGGTTCTTCCCACCAAATTGGACTCTCGGAGGGTATTAGGAACCATGGTAAACATTTCGGAAATTTTTATTTACAAGCGTAAAACAGTCAAAAAATTCCAAAATTTAAGGCTAATATCCACGCTTTATGAGAAATTTTGGAGGTTTCGAGTCCCGGAGTTGAAAATCCTTGAGATTTTAGGGAATACATCTCGGGGTCATATAATGTTGTTTGGAACCATTATGATCATTATATGTTGTCATAAATGTTCGTTATAGGCTTGAGTTAATGAAATCGGTGTAAGTTGTAAACCGGTAAATTGACCCTTTAAAGGAAAATTGGATGGTTACACTCACTCAAACGGCATTATACATCTCGGGTTGGTATAATGCCGTTTGGAACCATAATGATTATTATATGTTTGTCATAAATGTTTGTGGTAGTCTTGATTTAATGAAATTGGTACAAGTTGTAAATCCCCGTTTAAAGGCACATTGGATGGTTCCACTCACTCAATTGGAATCCCGAAGGATATTAGGGACCATGGTAAACATTTCGGCAATTTTTATTTACGGGTGAATAAAAGTAAAAAAAAAACTCTAAAATTGAAGGCTAATATCCACGCTTTTGAGAAATTTTGGAGGTTTCGGGTAGAGCTGTCTATTTAGGTAAATGGGTCGAGTTTAGGTCGGTAAGAGTGGGTCGGGTCAATTCGGATTAATTCCATAACATGTGCGGATCGGGTCAATTCGGATTAATTCCATACATATGCGGGTCAGGTCAATTCGGATTAATTCCACAAGAAGCACTACAACTTCTCAATGACCCAAACGTTAATTCACAAATTTTTGTATGAGGCAGACTTTAATATATTTATTGTAAATGGGTAAATGTTACCTAAAAAGTATTTAAACTTACCCTTATATACTACTGCTTATAAAAATTACCATTTTAAACCTAAATTTTACCTTTTACAAACACTTATAATGTATTTGTATTAGATAAAGCATATTACACATTAGTCTTTATAACATGTATTGCTTAGAAAATAGTTAAAAAAAAAACACATTAAGATACAACATTACTCACAAATTACTCCATCCGTTTTTAAATACTTGCTATATTTTCCTGGACATGTATGCTAATGCTAATCCTTGATCAATAATATCATTAATTATCAATAAGTATAAATTATTAACAATTGAAAAATAATAATCTTTTCATTGATACGATCTCAACTACGGAGTACTATTTACAAAATTATATTTTTATGCTATGTATAAATTACAAACATTAGTCAAATCAGATCAAATAAATAGTGCAAATTGTATAAATTAACCGTCTTCCAATAAAATAAGGGAGTAAAAATTTACCTTGCAGGCTTGCACCAATAATTTTTTTTATTTTATTATTATTATTTTTTTTATACCGGCTCATTGATGTTAGTTAGGGCTCAATTGCAGTTAAGCTGTTAACTGTTGTGCAAAATCTCCCCTAAAACCTTAAAACTCCGGCGAAAGCTCAACAATGGCGGACGGAGGCGACATGGAAATCTCTCTGGACAAACTCCCTATCAAACGCCTCGAAATCATCGAAGAATCCGGCGCCGAACGTTTTTCCCCGTACTTTCTCTCTCCTCCATTTATGCAATAGCTTAATTTGACCTAATTTTTTCTGCAATTTTGGTGATTTTGATTTGAAGTTGTTGAATTGTTTCAGCGAAATTGAATACGAAGAGAAAACTGTGAACTTGATTCGGCGAATCGACTTCGCCTGGGCGTTGGAGAGAGATGCGAAGAAGCAGAAGAAGACGAAGGAATCATCTGCACCGTCCACATTGCAAGGGGTGATTGAGAATTTGAGATTGGCTCATCAAGAGCTTTCCGTTATCATTGATCTAATTAACACTGTAAGCTCCTTTTACTACGAATTACACTGATTTTATTCTGAGCTGAAATTGTGGTTTTTGGTGATAATGTTAAGTAGTTTTTTAACTGTAAATTTTGAATTTTGCGCCAAATTTGTAGTTTATTGATGCAAAATTGAGGTTTTATGAATTTGTGTGAAGTGTGAATGCTGAATTTTGTAGTTGGGAGTGTTTTGGTCTTTAGAGTGTGAAGTATGTTTATTAAGATGCAAAATTGATGTTGTATGTAGTGTAAATGATTGATTTTTATAATTGTGAATGTTTTCGATGCGAAGTCGGTTGATTAAGATTCAAAATGAGATTTTATTTTTGAAGTATAATCATTCAGTATTTAATTGCAAGTGTTCAAGAATCATGATGAAAGTATTGTAGAATGAGGATTCAATTTGAGCTTGAATATCAGAGTCTATTTGCAGCCTAAAAGTAATTTGTCCTGCCTTCCTTGAGCTTTTTTTTTCATTGCCATTGCTTCTCATCCACTTTTGAGTTCTTGGACATGAAGTTGGCCCTTCTTGGAGAGAATTGAAAATGGGATGATCATTTGAGCTTTACTTATTGAACATGGTCTTAGTTTACTGGAAAAGTTTTTGTAGCTCAATTAATGAAAATTTCTATCTAACATCGTGGCTGTTATCAATGTTGCTCAACCCCAAGGTGGGTGACCATCAACTCATAGTGGTTTAAGCAATACTATAAGATTATAATTGGAGCTAGTTTGCTATTTTTTTTTTTAGTTTTTTTTATTTGAGGGACTATGTCATTTCTTTTGCATAATTACCCCGAAATTGACATTTTTAATCATTGATAAGCTGCTGAAGTGCTGAGTATTCTCTCATTAACTTAAAAACTTATGGAAATTCAGATGCAAATATTGGGGGAAACTTTGTTATGTCCTAGTTGTTTTTGGCTTTCAAATAAATGTGTTATTACCTTAAATTTGATTAAGGTGAATTATTTGGCATTTAAGTACGTGTGAGTTGTGACGATATCAGCACTTTGTTAGAACCTTTTACTGTTTGCTTCTGGGATAGGGTACTTTTTCTGAATACTGCTTTAATTTATAAATGTGCTAATCAGGAATATTTCAGCTCGATATTCCATTTTTTTCCACATACCTTATTTGGGGCAAGCTTCATCTTGTAACTTGTCTTGTCGAAAGTGCTGATGGGCAAATCTTGGCTAATTGTTCAGGTTGAAGCTAATGATGCAGTTACCGTGGCTCATATGAATAGGCCAAAACCATTGCCTAATGAAGCCCTGTCCGACCTTGCAATATCTGCTGCAAATAAGCTGCAGTGTTTTCGGGTATCGTCATTGTTAGACTTATTGTATCTTTCACCTTACTCTACCAATACCCCCTTAGTGTGTATGTTACTGCAACTTAATACTTTTTCCCTGCTTAAAATAGAAAGATGTATCATAATAGTTCTATATTGAGGTCTAAAATTGCAGTTCACATGAACATTTTCTCTTAGTTGCTTTTGGAATAAAATTTTAACCTTGCCTCCCTTGCAGCATCTCAGTAAGTACTTTAAGCAGTCTGCGAAATCCTTGGAACATCAGATTGCCAGGGAAGCAAGATTCTATGGAGCTCTCATTCGGTGAGTGTGCAGAAGTGGATACTCTCTCTTTCCTTATATACTTGTGTATTTTGATAAGATATAAATTGATGCCTTATCATGCCAATCTGTTGCATTGCAACTCTCATTCAACATTCAATACCTCACTTTCAGTTCATCTCTACGTGCCTTGTCTACTATCTAGCATACATTCTTGTGGTATCTACTATCTAGTCACCTTTCTTCCATGTCCTTGTAGCCGAGCTTTGACACCGTTTGGTGTTTCCACTTTCCATTATCATTCTCCTGTTATATTCATAAGATTTTCTATGTTTACTACATCTTCTCTGCATATATTGTGTATTATACACACTATGTTTAATTTCCTTAAGGTTTGCATTAATTGTTAGTGCTTCTGACAATAAGTATAGTAAATCAATAAATATAATTTGATGCAACATCTAATATATAATAATTTGATGCTATGACTAACCCTTCTTTCCTTGGTGTATCTTCAAAGGCTTACTTGTTCATTGCTACTTTTCTGTTTGTCTTCATTGGACTGTTCATCCTTTCACTCTGACAAGCTGACAGTTTGCAGCAGAATTGGAAAGTCAAATGGCATCGTTTGGCAGCAAATGCTCCTGGTAGCGATGGCTTCTTGATTGATCTCTCCAAGAACACAGCACATGAGCAAGCAGCAGTTGCCAGAGCTCCTAAGTTTTCTATGGTTCGTGTGGAGCACGATTCATCTGGCATGCTGGCTGTGAATTTGCCTAAAAATTCATGTCGTTCTTTCCACTTTGGTTTTTTGGATGCTCATTCAGATGATTGTCCAGAAGGACTTGGATTTGGGCGAATGAATTCTGGTTCCGTTGATGAATCTTTAAGTGAAGCTAAGAAGGATTCTAGTGATGATGATCGTATACGAGAAACACACACAGTCCTTTGTAATGCCCACAGGGCCATATTTTATGAACAGGTAGATGTGAACAATTTACTACCCCTTATTGGAGCTTCTTAACTTTTCACCATGTCCTTCCTTTTTTGACATGCCTTGTTTCTGCTTATAGGTTTTTGAATTAGTTAGCCGTGAATCCTTCAACCCATCTTTGGGGGTAAACGTGACTGGAATACGAGAAAACTATTTGGAACTGAGCATAAAGCCAGGGGTATCTGTTTTCGTATCGCTAATGCCATACAATCAGGAAGATCAAGGTAATGATAGCAGTGACACTAAGAATGTGGACGATTTATCTAAAGTGTCAAGCCTGGTGGAAACCAAGCAAAACATTGAGCAAATGTTTGGACACCCCAACCACATCACTTATGAAATATATCTGCTACAGCTTTTCCGTGATGAAATATATGGCAAAGTGAAGCACCAACCACACTTGCCTGGTAAAGTTCAGTCTAATCACCAGCCTAATGATGCTGTGGGGCTTGTGAATCATTTCTGCCTTTCTTTGGCTCACCGAATCTTCTCAAGCAAAGTTCTAAATAAGTTGGAAAACCTGGTATTGGCAAATCTGAACTCTATTTGCATTAGTTTTGTCAACTGAAATAGGAATTGTATATCTGACTCGTTTTTCTCTTTTCTTGCTGAATTTTCGTTTTCATCAATTAGGCTACAAAGATTCCGTATCTCCAGCTTATTTCACAACCTACCTGGCATTCACGGACTTCTTCTTGGGCACTGTCTGTGAAAGTTCCCAAAGCCATACTTAATGCGCAGTCTCAGGCATGGAGTTCAGATGAAGATCAGATTAAAGATAACAAGTTACTATTTCAGACTAGGGTGGTGGTGAAAGATGATAATATTAGCATTGAAGGGGGAGGTTCTCCTAATGTTGTTGGTTTGTTTAAATGTAATCCTGAGGCAATGGGATCCAAGAACAGATTCAATTGTGACTTGGTAGATCTCCCTACGGTGCTTCTGTTGCAGGTAATCTTATACTCCGTAGATGTTCAAACTCTTGCTGGAGTGACTACTGAGTACTACTTGTTTTTATCTTTATTATTTATTTATTTATAGTGTTTTGAATTTGAGATGTGAACTTGTGGTTGAGGGTGTTTTGGGTTTGAATGACAGATAGCTAGTCAGATCATATGCTGGCTTCACGAGGAGGCATTGATGGTGGGTATAAAAACACACCAGGATTTTCTCTGCCTTTTCTTGGAGCTTGAACAAGGTGAGACTCTGAGCCTGGTCGCGCATGTTGATCCGGAGGATGCACTAGGATGCATCTCCTGGTGGCTGACTGTGGAGGATGGCTCTACTCAGGAGCGTAAACTTCAGGCAGATCTTCCTGATGGTGAGTCTCCTTCTAGACGGTTTTTGGGTCACTTGTCTTTGGATACATTGTACTCTACATTAATGGATCTTGTTAGTGTGTGCACCGTCAGTGTTAACCATTAAATCTGGTCTAGTTTTGTTTCATATATCAATCAATGAAAATGTATACTGGTATCCCTGTGTTTTAAGTGTTTAGCTGCAAGTTATGGCCTACAGCCTATGAGAAATGTACATGAATTGAACAAATCAAATTTCACTTTACATTTGGGTAGGATGCCAGAATAAGTTACATATTTCATGGTTACATAATGTATGATTAAACAATGGAAACCAAACATCAATGATGGAAAGATATGTTAATGAAGCGTAGTCAATGTTTTTGCTTCATTGTTCTTTTATGATTACTCTTCCTCATTTTTCTTGCAATTTTCTATTACTTGTTGATTCAGTTTACAGTTTTATTGCACAATCACAGGTTCTTAAGGAAATTAAGTGTCCTTAGTTCCATTCTGCTGTTGGATAAAAGATTTGATTGTGATTCACTAATTCCCCCCCATAATTACTCTTGCTGTTTGTTGAGGCTCAAGTCTGAAAGAAAATGCCACTTTATTTATTTTATTTTTATTTTTAAAAAAAATCAATTAAAAAAGTTCAGTAAACCAAATCTTGTTATGCTTTTTGATAGATTTCCATGGTTCCTTCAGCCATACTTGTTAATGGATGAACAAAACTTTCAAAACACAGTTTTACTCTAGTAGAATAAATCTGCTTCCCAGCAAACTCATCCATTAAACTTGTTTCCCTGTTCTGCTCTTGTGGTTTATACCAGGCTGTTAAACCATTATGTTCCTGGGGAAAAAAAGTTAAGTCACCCTGCTATAAACCAGAGAATTTCTTCTTCTTTCGTAGATTGCAACAATTTCTTATACAAACAAAAAATTGCATTGTCTAAAATGTACATATACAAATTTTCTTGTTCGAGATTAAGGGGAGAGGGAAAGGGAATCAGAAAGTGTGTACAAATACAAAGGAATTGGGAAGGAAAAATAATCAGTATATATTTGTGATCATTCATATCATTACCTTCTAGGATTTCAGTTAATACAAATTGATGAAGCATAAACTTCTTAGATTATGTTTTATTCTTATATAAATCTCTACAACTCATCTTCTCAAGCATTCCTTCTTCAGCTAAAAGCAGATAGCCCCTTACCCTGTGGCATTCTCTTTGTGTCAGAGTCTTCGACATCCTTCTTTTTATAGAAGTGAGGAGCGATCTCAATCAGCCACTCTGGTTTCAGCTCGATTACTTGTCTCATATATTCTTTGGTTGTCAAAACCAGCTCATGGAATACAACCCACCTTGGCTGTGGATGTATCTGTGCTAAGCTTGAACTAGGATGAAGGTATGCAATCTGAGGATGCTTAATTGTCCTATAGGACCCGTCTTTCTGTAACTTTGCTGAGTGAGGGAAGAATCCAGCTGTGATAGCCTTTTTGATTGCGTCCAAATCATTCAGATTAGATGTGACTTCTATTTCAACCCTCTCCAAGAGCCCTTTCAGTTGATCTCTTATATCCCTTGCGCGTTTCATACTCTTGAACTGAACAAAATTCTCGTAACACCACATGCTTCCATAGTCATATGATTTCCATTCATTGTAAACATTGAGAAGAGCAATATGATCTCCAACATTCCCCTCACTGAATCTCACTCTTGCATTATCTGCAAGGACTTGTTTATCCTTGGGGCGGTAAAAGATCGAGTTGCCTATAGAAAGCATTGCTGCAATCGTAATAATCTCCTCTGAGCATCTATACTTCTCTGAAGCAACAATCATCTTCGATAACATGGGATCAAGGGGAAATTCCGCCATTCTTCTTCCAACTTTTGTCAATTCACCGTGCTTATTCAGAGCGCCTAGTGCATATAGCAACTCAAGAGCTTTCAACAATGATTCAGATGGTGGTGGATCCATGAAATCAAAGTTCAACAAGTCCTGAATTCCAAGACATTTGAGAGTAAGCACAACATTTGCTAGATTAGTCCGTTGAATTTCTGGGACAGTATTATCTTCCAGTTCCTGGTAATTATAAGCAGTATATAATCTGTAACACTTACCTGGACCTGTTCGTCCAGACCGACCTGCACGTTGGTTTGCTGATGCCTTAGAGATTGGCTTAACCAACAGTGACTCCACTCCTGTTCTTGGATTATATGACTTTATCTTGACAAATCCCGGGTCTATAACATATTTGATCCCCTGGATCGTTAGAGATGTCTCTGCGATGTTTGTGGCCAACACAACCTTGCGTGCTCCTTCAGGAGTAGGTTCAAATATCTTGTTCTGCAGATGTGTTGGTAGGTTGGCATAAATGGGGCATATGATGAGTTCATCAATCTTCGTTCCGAGGCCCCTAGTTCTGTGCTTCAATATCTCCTCTACTGTTTCAATTTCTTCTTGTCCTGTGAGAAACATCAGAATATCACCAGGTGGTTCTTTGACATGTATTTGGAGTGCAGAGACGATCGCGGCATCTAAATAATTAGCCTCTGGTGCCTTAGTGGAGTGTATCTTGACCTCATAAGGCCTCCCTGGAATCTTGAAAATCGGGGCTGAATCAAAATAATCGCTGAACTTCTCAGCATCAAGAGTTGCACTTGAGATGAGTAACTTCAAGTCAGGTCGAAATCGAGCAACATCCTTGACCAAACCAAATAATATGTCTGTAGTAACAGTCCTCTCATGTGCTTCATCCAACATGATAACACTGTAACTACAAAGGTCTGGTTCACCAAGGAATTCACGGAGCAGCATACCGTCTGTCATATACTTAATACTCGTCTTCTCTGATGTACAATCTTCAAAACGAATGGAATAGCCTACCTCATGCCCGAGTTTCACACCCATTTCTTTGGAAACACGAGCAGCAACACTCATTGCTGCAACTCTCCTAGGCTGAGTACATCCAATCTTTCCAACTTTTGTATATCCAGCTTCATGCAGATACTGTGGGATTTGAGTCGTCTTCCCACAACCAGTCTCACCGACAATTACGAGCACCTGGTGATCTCGGACAGCATTCAGTAATTCATCTTTATAGCCATAGACTGGCAGGGTTTTCTGCTCTTCCTTAATCTTCACACACTCAAATTTCTCCAAATCAGGATAATTTTTTTCTCCTTCCACTACACCTGTGTTTATAAACTCAATTTGATCTCCGAAGACATATTCATATCTGTTTGCCTTCAATCTTTTGTTTTTAGAACCGAAGTTAAGGGCTGCTTTTCCCATCTGTTGCTGCTCCCATTGTTCTTGTTCAGCGAACGGATTCATCTTCTTACCCTTTGATTCACCATCTCTGGAATTCTTTAAAGCGACAGCAAACCTTTTCTTCTGGTTCACTCCAAGATCATATGCATCCGGCATTGTATACTCACCGCAATCATCTTTCATACTATTTTTGACAATCAGGTCATAAAGATCCTGTTTGAACCTGAATTCACGGCGCTCTGATTCAGTCAACTCAACACTGTCAAACATGTTCTGTTCATCTTCTATCTCATCTGCAAGCTCTTCCGACTTCTGTTCCACCCTTTTCTTCAAGTACTCTTGTCTCGATATAATTCTTAGTGCTCCAATATCATCTTCCTTTTCCTCCTTTGCCAAATTTCGCAAATGTAGCTTTCTTGTTCGAGCAGCATCCCTTTCTTTGATATTTCTCTCTAATTCTTCCCTCTCTCGTCGGTCGCGTAATCTTTCCCTTTGCTCTTCAGAGACGTATGCTTTCAAGTCTGCGTCGTTCTTCATTATAGAAAGAGAACTGAGATTGATAATTTTTTTTCTTCCTGGTTTGATGATGCAAGTGACGTTGTTTTTTATATGCAAAATTAACCTAAACGGTTAGGAATATATGAAAAATATTACGGAGTATTGTAATTTGTCTTATATAGATTTGGATATTATATTTATGGTAATTTGATGTTATTTAGGATAAGAAAAATTTATATTTGATAGAGTTTGATATTGTTTAGGTTTTCTTTTGTACAATGCAAAACTTCAACGATTAATAACTTTAATTCTCCATAAGTAAAATTTGTAAAAGTTATATATTATGATAGTACTTCTTGAGACGAATTCAAAATATCCAACATGAACATATTTTTCCTTACAAATTATTCAAAAATGACGGTCAAAGGAGGAGTGGTGAATAATGTAAAAGTCAAAGCGGATCAAGTAAAAAAGAACGGAGGAAGTATGTTATAAATATTGACCAACAATATAAAGCATTTATGTGATGATATATTTTCCTAAAAAAGAAAACAAAAACACGTGGGGCTTAAAAAAAATCAACTTGGGGCTCAAGCATTTTTTTTATAAACTTGGGGCTCAAGTATAAAATAAAAATTAAAAAAATAAAAAACTTTTTTTTTTTTTTTGAGGAGTAGGTTTAACGATTGTATATTAACTTAACTTAATTTTTATCCTAATAAAAATTAAAAGAAGAGTATAATTTTAATTTATTTCTATTCAAAAAAAAAAAATTATTTTTATTTTTATTTCATTTTTTTTTTTGTTATGAAACTGATTAAAGAAACAAATGTTAAATAGTGGTGTACATTGTTTGAGTGAGAGCTTAAACGTTGCAAATCTAGCAATACATTGTAATAGAAATACATTGTAATCTATTCAAAAAAAAATCTAGCAATACATTGTTAGAGTTATGAGAAAGATAAAGAGTACAGAATGATAACTTATTATTCATTCCTAAACGATGTTCTTCATCTGTACTAATAGAGGAAGAGGAGGGTTTAAGTCTAATTTACCCTAATCATATAATTAAAATCTTTCTGAGCTGGATGACTCACAGTGGCGGAGCCACGGTGGGTTCAAGTGGGTTCATTGAACCCACTGATTTTTTGAAAAAAATTAAAAACTTTTTTTAAAAAAAAAAAAAAAAATCAAAATAGGTTTAAATAGAATATTTGTGTATTATATGGCAACAAGTAAAGTTGTAGCCCAGTGGTTATTTTTACCACTCATCATACAATGATACAAGAGTTTGTGGGTTCAGGGTTCGAAACCCATAACTCACACTTTTATTTTTTCATTTTGTTTCCTTTCATCCTGCTTCCCCTAATCCCCTGCTTCCAGCTTTCCTCTTCCTCATTCCCCCAAATTGCAAAACCCTAACTTCTTCCTCCTTCTCTTAATCTCTTCCCGTTCTTCCTCCTTGGCTCCTTCTCTTCCCGTTCTTCCTCCTTGGCTCCTTCTCTTCCCGGCGCACGGGCGCAGCACCGCAGAAGTCCGCAGCAGCCACTCAGGCACTCAGCCAGCACCGCAGCACGGCAGGTCGGCAGTAGGCCAGTAGTCACTAGTCAGCCCACTTTGCCGGTTTCCTTTAAGGCTTTAATTGTATGTCGTCTTCTATCTAGTTCTATCTGGCCTTCTGGGTTAATAATATATAAAGTTTTTGGTTTCATGATTTTTGTAGATAATTACGTGAATACGTGGTGTTTGAATGTGTGAATGTGTGATGAACTTTAGCTATCAATTTTGGGTTTTTGGGTGACTACTGTCTATTGAAAAAATGGTTGAAATTGGGGTCTTGGGGAAGGAAGTATCTGATTTTCATTTACTGATTTAGGGTTTGTAGATTGTAGAAGTAGTTCATTTGTTGAATTGTTGTCTGTTGACTTGAATTAGTGTAATTTGTATAGCCTGTACTTGAATTGTTGTTTGTTGAATACTTGAATTGTTGCCTGTTGAAGTGTTGAATGTTGATTGTCGGTTGAAGTGTTGATTGTCTATTGTTTTAGAGTGTTTATCAATGATTCAATGGAGGTTGTTTTAGAATGTACTACATTGTTCTCATGTTCTGTAATTAGTGTAATCTGTACATTGTTCTTGACTTCTTGTCATGGGTTATCATCGATTTATTGCAGAAGTCGATTAGAAGGGGATAATCAGTGCTCGGTGCTCCACTGCTCCGTCATCCACTCATCCATATTTCGTGGCTCTGTAGGTGAATAACTGAATTTTTACTTCTTAATTTCATATATTTTACATACTATTTGTTTTGATCTTGAATGAATGAATTCTTGATAATAAATTATGATGTATTGATTTTTATTATCTAAAAAAAAATCTGAAAAAAATTGTATGCAATTGCAAAGATATTCTTCTTCTTAGTTTGCTGTATTGCTGTATGCCTCTATTGCCGTATTGCCGTATGCAAAGATATTCTTCTTCTTGAATCTTGATAAATTATGATGTATTGATTTTTATTATCTAAAAAAAAATCTGAAAAAATAATTTTATAGTGATTGTGTGAACTTCTGTATTGCAGTATTGCCGTATTGGTGAGTGGTTTGCTTATTGATATTTTTTGGTTTATTTCTTTCTCGTATCCATTCTTTCCAGTTTCCAGTTAGCCTATTGTTGCTGTATTGTTGCATGTTGCTGTTAATTGGCGAGTGGTTTGCCGTATTGTTGCTGTTAGCCACTTAGCCTATCATTGAAACTGGTGAAATTCGTTGAGTTACTTTTGGTCTTTACATAATTGTATGCAAATATGCAATTCGTATAATTGTATTCAAATATGCAATTCGTACATAATTGTATGCAAATATGCAATTCATTCAATTGTAAATTATGATTCTGAACTTTCGAAATTTCGAACCCCCTATTTGGAAATCCTGGAGACGCCACTGATGACTCATAACTGTGATGAGTAGGGGAACTGATGTACAATTGTACACAATGCTTTGCTTGGTAAAATTAGTAGAACATCAAATACCTAATTGCCTTCAAATGTTTAATGTCTCTTTAAAAAATTGTAGATGTGTAAGTACATTTTATGAAATTTAATTATATTTATACTAATGTGATACTCATTTAGGAGTTATTCGGTCGGGTAGCGGTTATCTCAAAATAAGTAACCCCGATCACACATATGATGAGACAAATATTATATTTCATACTTCGCATTATATATCAATCTATTGCTTATTCATGTCATTATTCCATTCATTTCAAAACTTGATCCAACCATCCAAGGAAAACAAAAACTAATTAAGCATGATTAAAGAAAAAAGATAAAAAGCTTGAGCCTTTTCCTAAAGAAATGCTCTCAACTTAAAACTAAGAAAAATCTTATAATAGCAGCAACTACTCTAAACAATAAATGGTTAACAAAAAGAAGCTAACACATGAGAATTATACTTAAACTAACTGATAGATTTTCTCGCTTGTTTCTGTGAGAAACATGCGAGGTGTAGCAAAACTTTCAATGCATATCTTTACTCTAGTAGAATAGTGATGACCTCCTGTACACCCACATCCATGAAGTCCAACCTTGTTTATCCTCTTTGATTTCGGATTATACCAACCTAAACCATACTGAGCTCCCGGCAACAGATACTCCTGTGTTTCTACGCGATAAGCCACAGGAATTCCACTTCCGTTAGGTACATTGCACACCTTTGTCCATGACTCCTCCACTCCGTACTCCTTCATGATCCATAACCCGAGATGTGTAGAGCTAATGCCTCGAGACATCAAGAGGCATAAACATCCATTTAACACTCCAAGCTCTAAGATGTAGGGTTTTACTATAAACCCTTTCATAAAGTACCCCTGATATAATTCCTCTGGCTCTGGCACTGGCATTGTACCCCATACTTCGTTATGAAGATTGAAGGTAAGTATTGTTTCCTTCGAGTACTCAAAGATTTGTGGATCATACTCGGTGATATTCCAGTGTAAGTGGTTGTTTACCACGACACCATGGTTATGTGGCTGGATATATAGCTTATAATCATTGATGTCCTGTTCAAATTCACTTGCAAGCTCCAACTCAGGTAAATCAATCATCCTCCATGAAGGGTTACCTTTAGACAAATTGTAAATAAGAGCATTTCCTGGTGTAAAGCATACTACCTTGTAACAGTGGCTGTAAATATCATAACCAAATCCGAAAATCATGAATTGAAATGTTCTTACTACATCTCTTTGGAGAGGTTGATCATCTAAGTTCAGCACGTAGGTTGAATCATGAGTGTTGTGTTTAGAGGAATTAAAATTTATGGTGGGTAAGATCTTCCAAAAGCTGGAATGTTTTAGGTCGTTAATAGACGGGTTGCAGACAGCAGCGTGGTGCGTCCCACATAAAACCAAAACCAACCCATGGCAAGAGCCGGCAATATCAATCCTCCCATAGGTCACCTTTTTGGGACGAGGTTTACAAGGGAAACCATAGTTGCCTCTACTAATTTTATCTGGTGATGGTTGAAACGAGGGAGGCAAAATAAGTCTGTTGATATCGAGGTTGTCGATGTCATTACAGTCAAGGTAAGCGCGGTTGAGGAAAGGGAAGAGAGTAAGTGTGTCATTGATGTGGAGGGTGGTATGCCAAGTTGTTAAGATGAGGGAGAAATTAGTAGAGTTGATTTTGAGGGATCTAAAAAGATGATGCTTGCAGAAATCATGGCTTTCGATGAGGTTTTTCCATGACTTGCATACACATTTGAATCGATGGAGAGATTTTACAGGCATTCGCGACAAAATTTCTGTAGTTACCTCCACAGGAATGTCTCTGTAATATGCCATAGTTTCAAACAAAGAACAAGAAATATGATGAATGGTAGTTTTCTCTCTTTATTTGAGAGGAAGAAAGTTTGTGAATGCCAAGATTTCCATGGGATTCTAGGTATGGTTTATGAATGGAGGTATTGTTAGAGGTATTAATAAAATTCATGAAATTATATGCATTGCGATATATTTTGGGAATTAGGATATATTTTAGTGAATAATATGATAAATATATGGTACTTTATTATCTTATGGGAAGTTATTATAAGGTTCTAGGTTAGTATATTATATAGAGATTGACTATAATCTATTATATAAATATGAAGTACTTGATTATTTTTTCAAGAATATAGAAGCTTATACGATAGCTTTATCCTAAACTTGCCAAAACCCACACATTTGTCCACATAAATTTTCAAGATCATACTCAATTATACTATACTTTTTTACTTTCTTATACTTCTTCCGTTCTTTATATTGCATTTTATTTTTTAGACTTCTAAACTACTCGCACATTCCATATGCAAGGAAAAACTATAATCACATGGAATCTTTTAGGTTCGTTTTAATATAAACTTTTAATATTTCAACATCTAATTTTAAGTTAAAAGATACCGAGTATATAATTATAGATACTAATGCTATACCGGAGTATTTTTTTTAAAATAAATTATCAAAGATTCATCCATGTTACTTATTTAATCAAACCAGAGTTTAAACAACAAATTATCAACAACTATACCGGAGTATATTACTCAGTATTAATCATACCAAATGACAATTATGTTGCAAAAAAAAAAACAAAACATAAAAATGTACTCGATCTATGAATTACCCCGCAAAATACATACAAAGAATACAAACCAACTTTTTGTCATTTGATTTATCTGCAGTTAACAACCATAATTGCCATTTGATAATTGTATTGAGATCCCTTAATGGCTTAATATGATTTTTTTTTTCCTAATCCTAAGTCTAGGCAAAAGATATATTAACAGCTTCCTGAAACACATCTATGCCAATCTTCTATTGGGCCACTAAACTACAATCTTCCAAAATTCATATAACCACCAAAAATAATGCCATTTTTAGTTTTAGCGATTTCTGGACAGGGGGAAATTCTTTTCCCAAGGATTTTCATTCTACCAAAGATATCCAAAGAGCAACAGCCATTCCCAAAATGAGTGAGATCAATTGGCTTACACTACTTTTTAGTCCAGGGCTCCCATTATTGTTCATCTCAGCTAGGACCCCAGCAACCGAGATATAGATGAATCCACCGGCTGTGAACCCCTGTAAATGGTACAAAATAAATATTAAATGAGAAAAATTTCAACAAGATTGTATGAATTCCAGAACTGAGAATGACTACATGATTTACCTCAATGAGAGATGACTGTCCTGGATCCTGGCCGAGAAGTAAAGCCTACAAATATGCAAGGTTTTTCTTTGATGAGTAACTTGAAAAGAAAATTAATAGGAATGTTTTAGTTAAGTGAGACTGAGACTGTGAGACTACTCACCAGAGCTGTTCCTGCTAGCGCTACGAGTGCTGATAGGAAGTTGAAAAACAGGGCTTTTGACACACTGAAACCTGATCGTACCAAGATTCCAAAATCACCAACCTGCATAACACAAAAAAGCTGTTAATCTAGTATCTTTTAGCTCTAATGCTACTCAGGCAGATTTTTTTTTTGTTAATAATAAATGTTAAAACAGCAATAGCACACTATAAAGCAGGGAAAAGAAGGAAATTTTTATTATCTGAAATAAAGTCAGATCACAGAGCGTAGCATGGCCAATCACATAAGTATATCAAAATAATTGATGTGGGTGCTGATAAGTTTCGGAAAATTCAGTATGTATGCTGATAAACTTAAGAGTTGAGGCCACCAAAAAGAATTATCGGCCTATGTAAGTCAAGAGAATAGTACTCACAAAGATTGGACTTTTTATTACTAGGGCATTATTTTTTTTATTTTTTTATTATGATACTTGGTATATAGGGTATTCTGCAATTTCCTAGCTTTATTATGGGAAAATCTGACTTTTGATATTAAACTTTTTACTCCAATTCTAGAGATCAACTAATAGTTCCTCATTTACTTCTGTCTTATTAACAGCTAAAACATCTACTCCATCCTCAGTAAAATATAATACGGAGTACACAGTAGTTGTACATGACAAATTATAGCTCTAGATGGTTCTACAGTAACTATGCACAATCACCATCAAGGCACAAACACAATCAGGAATATTTATGTATACTATTATGTCGTGGAATCATCGTTCTTCAACAAAGCCAAGCATACCCATTTATCTTTTACGTAAGTATTATATATGTGAAATTGTTGTTCTAGAACTTGCCACAAGGATTTGAACATGATCAATCATTAAAAAATTACAAATCTCAACACAATCTTAAAAAAGAGCACATAATTATATTTTGAAGTAAAAACAAACATGAAGAGCAAAAGCAGTGGCTTATTCTTTAACATAATTCATGTGAGACTTAAGATTAAGATCTCAATACACACTGATACCTTGAAATACTGCTAAGGACTTGGTTTTTGTACTAAGCACTGTCATTTACCCAAAAAAAAAAAGAAAAAAAAGATAGGGGGGGGGGGGGGGATGTGTCACAAAAATGCAAAGCTGTGCTCCTAAAGTTATAAATAAGCAAAAGCAGAGAGAACAATTCGTCAGCAGTAAGAATATGCAAATAGAATCATTATTCATAATGAAATACCTCTTGAGGGATTTCATGGGCAAGCAAGAAAATAGTTCTAGACCATCCACCAACAGATCCGTAAAGTAAGAATGCACTTCCTAGAGCCATGCCATCAGTGAAATTATGCTGCAACAGTTTAAACATTACATCACGTCAGAGACAGTACTTATTTTAACCACAACAGTTACCATCTTCAATCTTGGTGGCAACTCTGGCAAGTCTACCACCAATCAAAATGCAAAACCACTACATGATACATACTCACCACAGCATCAGAGAAGAGATTAAGATAACCAAAGACCAGGTTTGACGGTTGTTTTGCAGGCTTTGCTTCACCCACTTTCCTGTCAGCAGCATCTATATCCGATTTGTCATCATTGGTGTTGGCATTTTTATTTCTCTGTACACCAAATGAAGTCACAATGGATTTTAATAGATATAAGTAAAATTAGTTTAAAACTATATCATGATCAATTTTCAGAGGATCAGAGCAGTGGAAGTACTATATAACCTCACAACATAAACCTATTGGTTTATAATCACAATTGAGGAAACCTGGTTCAGAATTTATCAAGTGGCAACAGACAAACAACATATGAAGATATGCCCATTTTACAGGACATTGATTACAAAAAGTATTATGTGCTAGCAAATGTTGCCAATGATGTTATGCTAACTAGTAGACTAAAAAAAAGAATAGTTCAATTGAAAAACTAAAGGCACTAGTCTTTTGAACTCACCTTTTTTAGTTCCGTTTGGGACCCGGAACCTTGCTTTGACTTTGAAGTAGCATCAGCAGCTCCATTCAACTTTTTCTCTTTTGATGGCTTTTCTGATGATTTCTCATCAATATCATCATCATCCTTAACTTTTTTACTGCTTTTATTATGGCGATGATGATGGTGAGAATGAGTCCCTGAATGTTCACCCCCAGAAATTTCTTCAACATACCTAACTATCTTCTCCACAATCAGGAAAACCACAATGCCAGCTGCAGCAACACATAGCAGAATAAGAAAATTGGAATATTTTAACATTTGACTGCAAGAGCACAATTGCATGTTAGACAAATTATCAAGCCTAAATTTATAGAAACCTCGTGAAAATTATGATCAACCAAAATGCAAACCAACATAGCAACCATAACTCCTATGCAAGTTTTAGATAAGATATATAGTGCACAGCCTACGCAGCAAAGATACAAGAAGTGTTATGAACAGAACCAAAGTATATTTCATAACTCTGTTCAGAAAAGTAAATCAAAGGGACAATGTGCAGATGCAGAAACAATCAAGTTATCCCCAGTGGTTAAATTACAGTTGATAAAATAGGTAAAAGAAAATTGTGTAAATTATTTCATTTCATTTTTTTTCAACAACAGTTGTATTAGAATCGAATCTGCTTAATCAGAAACATCAATACCAACACACATATTGGTATGATTCATTCACATTCACCATGACAAGGTATTGACAAGATTCAAAATGTCAAACAACTTCAGTCAAATTTCTGAAATCTATTGAAAAAACTTTCTACAACTTCAGTCATAAGATGCATGCTATCACCATCAAGAATATTAAATTTTGTAAGGTGTGATAAAGCAACTCACCAATCCATTACATCCAAAGCATACAGCATATAACAAATGACACAAGAAGAAAAGTGGAAGAGCTCACTCATAGGGTCATGTACGTAAAAAAAAAATGATACTAATACATCTCAATCATACTTTTAAAAAATAAAAAATAAACACAATTGTTTGGCAGAAATCTTCAAGGGGGGAAATATGTCTGGAATAAGGAAAATGACGTACTTTCATTCATATCTGAATCATTAACAATCAGCAAAGTTCACAAGAATACATAAGCCTTGTGAAAATGAGAAGCTCGAAAGTGGTAACATGAAGGCCTTGATGAAGAGCTAACGTGGAAAAACAAAAAGAAGCTAACCACACTTACATAGGACTGACAATCCAATGGAGAGATCTTTCAAAGAATGAGCATGAGAATGTGAATGTGATTCTTCAGAATGAGCATGTTCATCATGTGAATGAGAGTGGCCACCACCTGTATAGATGCCATACACCTTAGATATAATACAATATGCCCATTCAACTACAGATTGACAATGTATTAACGGAATAAACTTTTACACAATTGATAAATTCCAGTAAAGACCCAGCTTCTGAATGTTAAGCATGCATGGAGATATTAAACATCAACTGCCCTATCATCAAATGTCCTGCACAAATCACACTAGAAACCCTACCTGTCTTCCTCCCTCCATCTACATTGCTTCCTTTACCTAGAAGAGTGACTATGGATTCCACTTTAACTAATGTTTAGGATAATGTAATCATTTAGATGTAGCACAGGATGTCAACTGTGCTTTACTGTGGACCTGTAACACTGATTTGACTCTATAACAGGTATCCGCTGAAATATCATCTGGGTTATTTGAACAATAAACTGATGAAGTGTTTTAAAATTTCAGATAAAGGCTCTAATCATCCATAAGTTTTGAACTCTCAGATAAGTTAAATTCAAACAAGATTGGAAGGTTTAAAAGGTGCCCTCCTCTTCCCATAATCCCATTTATGTCTTCACGTATCCAAGCAATGAGCAAAGCAGAGCAAGGGTCTATATATTGTAAAAAATATGTGCTCACAAAGGGTAGTATAAATGTATAATGTTAAAACCATACAAGATTGAGGATAAGCAGAATTTGACTTCAGAAATAAATTGATGAGTGCAAAGATAAGGTAGGGTAAATGTATTCTTACTGAAAGCATGAGGTAATTGATGCAAAAAGGCATCACCCAACATAGCTCCAGCCTGCAGACACAAAAAACATATGAAAACACCGTGATGCCAACAGGAAACCAGTGATGCCAGAAATACTCCATGAATATGAAACTTCATTTACATATTTAGAACATACTTCTATAAGATTTTACTGCAACCCTCCCCCGAAATGAAATTAATATCAACACTTTTGAAGCAGAAAAAAAATAGAAGTTACAGACCACAACAAATATAATAGGCAGTTTACAGGACCAATATCTGCTTCCCCTTTTCTTTAGCATAGACAGTTTTTACAACAAACTGATACAGTATCATCTGATTTATAACACAGTTTCCTCGATAATTCACAGTGATTAGGAAAACCACATTAACAAGTTTATAATTATAATTACATATAAATAAAGAAGTTTTAAGTTTCAGAATGCCTTCCAAATGTTCCAATAACATGATTTTAATATCCTCAGTCTCATATTCCATTGAGATAATATTAACAATGTTTGAACAAATTTTCACACCAATGAAGGACAAAGGGGATAATAAAAAAGTCATTACAGCTCAAAGAAACCTGACCCCAAATATCGCCAATGCATCAACAACCGCCTTGGATGGTTTACCATTTGCTGCAATCAAAAGAAGGTTTCAGTTTTCCATTCAAACATGCATCAAGAAGTAATTTAATTGTAGCATTTGGCACTCTTCAAGCTTAAACCACAATCAAATTATCAAATGGGTAAACCTCTTATTTTAAAGTTTTAAATATCACTAACAATTCTAGGCACGGACTACATATTTTGGGATTAATCCAAGAATGCACTATCATCCGTTCAACATAGCACTGAATCACAGCTGAAGTTCTTCAGACCCAATTCCAAAATCAAATCAATTACTATAATCCCCAACACACACTCACCCAAATAATTTGGATTAAGTAAATGGTAGCTAGTTAATTTAATTGGTAAAGTCTTCAGGTGATACCCAAGACCAAGAATCAAATCTCGTCTACATCATTGTTCTTTGCAGCTATATATACACATTGCACCCAATTACAAACAAAATGAGGAGTAAACTCACCACACAAAATCGGAACAATGGTCAAGCAGATCAAAGAAGCCAAACTCACCAAGAGGGAACACCCCATTGCATTAATCCAAAGTCCTGATTCCAAAGAATAACACTCCATTATTATAAAATAAAATTCCTACTCAAATTAATTACTCAAAAAACACAATGCAGAACACAAGAACCCCCAATTTCCAAACATACCCAGATAGATTATTGCAACAGAAATTAAGGCATTTTAATACCAAGATCAAAACATTATAGAATTCAGAAAAAGGGTAAATTAGGGAAGAAATTACGAATGCCAGAGAGTTGCTCAAAAAATCCAATGTAGAACACAAGAACACCCAAATTTCGAAACATACCCAGATAGATTATTGCAACAGAAACTAAGGCATTTTAATACCAAGATCGAAACAATATAGAATTCAGACAAAAGGGTAAATTAGGGAAGAAATTACGAATGCCGGAAAGTTGCAAGTGGGACCCATTAAGGTGATCTTCATGGTGGTGATGATGGTGATGATTGTCTGATCCAAAACCGTACAATTTAAGGTCTTCTTCCTCAGCAAGCTCTTCTGGAAGTAACTTCCTCTTATCAACTGATTGATCAATCTCATCATGATTATGGTGGTGATGATGATGATGATGGGTGTTTTCTTGGTCATGATGATGGTGGTGATCATGGGAGCAGCCATGGTGAGAAGCAGGGGATTGGTGCCCAATGCATAGATCTAAGAGGGTAACCAAGAGGAGTAATAGCAAGATGTGTTTACTCCTTTGGACCGCCATTTTCGGGGTTTAAGGAAGAAGACAATGGAGTTGAGAGAGAATGAAAGAATGATTGAGCAAAGTATTGGAAATCGGGTCATTCAAATCGGGTTGTACTAAGGTAGAAATGGGGTCATTTAAATGGGAATTGATTTCAATGTTTTTTATCACGTTGCTTGATTTGTTCATTTTATCACGTTTGTCAATGTGAAAATAATTAATAATTTTAATTTTCTATAACTAAAATTAATAAAAGTTATATATTACAGTATGATATTATTTCTTGAGATAAATTTAAAAAGATCCCATAAATAGGCGTGAACGAAAACAGGTAAATTAGATGCTTAAAGATAAATTAAATGGTTCCATCCACCCAATTGTACTCTTGGAGGGTATTAGGGTCCATGATTATTATCTCGACAATTTTTGTTTTCGAGTAAAAAAAGTCAAAAAATTTCAAAATTGAAGATTATAATTCACGCTTTTTGGACAGTTTGGAAGGTTTCGGGAACCGACGTAGAAAAGACTTGAGAGCTTAGGGGTTACATGGTGGGGTTATATTATGTCGTTTGGAGACCATATATGATCATCATATGTTGTCATAAATGTCAGGGCTAGCCACGAGTTTATGAAATCGGTGCAAGTTTTAAATGGTTAAATTGACCGTTTAAAGGCATATTGGATGGTTTTACCCACCCAAATAGACTCCCGGGGTGTATTAGGGTACATGGTAAACATCTCGACAATTTTTTTTCCTGGGTCAAAAAAAGTGAAAAATTGTCAAAAGTTGAAGGTTATACACAATTTCGAGTCAATTTTTGACATTTTTTCAAAAAATTAACTGCATGCGTGGGTTAACTCCTAGGGTCAAATAAGGTAGTTTGAAAAGCGGGTCAAATAAAAAATAACGGAAAAAGTATTTCTTAACTACTTAACTAAATATTTAGATACAGTACTGATTTGAAAAGTTAATGAACAGGTTTATCAAATTAATCACAACTCAGAATAAAATACTCCATAATATGTTATTTATCACATTCTAATACATGGAGTGATACAAGAGCCCAAAGAAAAAAAAGAAAAGAAAAATATCTTCTTCCAAAGGTTCCAATATCCATCAATTTACGTAATTTGACAAATATCATAAGAATCTCATATCATATCCATTCTTGTATAAATCTTTAAGTTGCTATAATCTAAAGAAGCCAAATTTAGAGGAAAGGTGCCAAAGCACACCAGGTGTTTGATTAAAGGCCTAAGTGAAAGCAAAACAAACATGGAAGTTACAGTTGGAACGCTGCTTAAAGTTGGAGCTACAGTTGCTGGTGGAATGTTCGCCCTCTCTCTCGCCACTTCCACCACCATCAAAGTCATCCAATTCGCAACCGAAGCTAAAAGGGTATCCTCTTCAATCTTCTAATTGTAAGGATATAATCTCCGTTCTAACTATTAGACACCTAACAGTTTTAATACTTCCGCAAATTGGTTTTATTTTGTTGCAGAAAAGCGAGGCAAAACCATGTTTAGGATGTAAGGGAAAAGGGTTCTATATTTGCAAACTTTGCAAAGGGAATGCTACCATACAATGGTCACCTTTGTATGATCCTATTCATATTAACCCTTGTCAATGCCCGACTTGTGATGGTCATTGGTTAGTCTTAGCTTGTTCATTCCTTCAGTATTTGATCGTTTTTCAAAGCTCAAAATTCATTAACTTTCATTGTTCATGTATATTGTTGTTTTTTTTAATCTTTTTTCAGCATTCAACGGTGTCTTAATTGTATTGGTAAAGGATACTATTGAGCTCCAATGGCGTAGCCTGGTCCAACTTCTGCAATCTATTCGAGCTAAGCTGCATAGTGAGTTGGATGGAATGTACTTCATTGTTGTCGTGTCAAGATGAATCTAAGCATGATCGTGGTATGTTCCTATCAGTTTTTACTAGCTTAGCTGATTAAAGTCTAATAATATCGGCCTAATTTGTACTGTAATTGTATTCTGTTTTGTTTAGTGATGTGCATGAGAACATATTCTGTGTTATATTTCGCAAAGATAATCTAATGACTTCTATTATTAGTTATATAACAGTTAAATTAAATAGAGCTGTTTTGTGTAGTAGAAAAAGCTAATTGAGTAATAATTAACTATCATCAAACTTGCAATAAAAAAAATAATATACAACATTTGATAGTCTTGTTACTTACAATTTATCATACAAAGTAGAAATTATTGGTGACTTGTGATCCCTGTGCTTTAATTTGATAGATATGCTAAATCGTGCACCAAGGTAATAAAGATCTTACTGTAGGTAACTGTGATATTTCATCTTGTTGTAGTCTATGTACGTCGTAGAAGTTGAACAACTTAACCCAATGCAAGTGTGGATAGAGTCGGATAGCCTTTTGCTCAACGACCTCATCCCTTCAAGCTAAGAGTAGAGTTTAGCTAGCCTATTTTTGAGTTATATGTAGTAATGTTACTCGTATGGCAATTCAAATAGGTTTAACTTATTTGGTACAGAGGATGTTAGGAATTTAGGATGGTACCAATCTCAATAGCATTTACATACGCTAAACCATTTTAGCCAAGACCTTGAATTGGTGCATCGTTCAAAAAGTCCCTCATCAGCATGTTCTGTTCATCGATAATGCTCATTATGTAATTACTCATTTGTGTTTCTTTCTATTCTGTACTTGTTTTTGTTGTATTTGGCTAATTATGACAAAAAAAAACTTGTAATTACATAATAGTGGTATAGAAATTATTGGTAATGAAGCGACAAAACACATATATTTATATAAAGGCTACCAATTGAGTAGGTAATTGAAACACACGAAGATTATTTAGATAATTGGATTATTGAAATAGTACACAAGTGCATAGGAAACATGAACACAAGGCGTACTAGTGCAGGGAAGTTTTATTTAATACGTTATACTAGCTAGCTAGCTCGTAAGACTGCACCAGCATTATATTAGTAGTTGGGCAATGCTAGCTCAGCCCCAAACGACGTTAACTTCGATGGAGCCATACTTTCCGCTGATGGGTTTCTTCTCACTCACACCAGAGTCTTTGACCAGAAACACAACGCTACCGTTTGCAATTTCATCGTCGGGAGAAACACTATCATAGTCCATCAAGTACGCTGTAATCTCCATTTCCGTGGCGGCTTCAGGCACATTCACATCCGACTGGCTTAAGGGAATGAATGCGTTGGCTTTGAGGCTTATTAAAGAGTGAAAATTGGCTAGTGATTCCAAAGCGACCGGTTATGGTTCCGTAAACTTGTGCAGGGTCTTCTCCATCGCCGTTGATGAGCTTAACACTAAGCGTAGCTTGAACATTGTTACTGAACATCACCTTCGTTGCTGCATATTCTTGAGTGCTGGCCATCTTTTGAGTACAAAAATAATATCCTACATTCAAACCACAAATTGAAAATTATAATGAAAATCAAATGTGTTAGTGCCAAATATTTTTATTACATACCAATAAAATCTTGGCTTAGTGCCAAATGTCTATGATTACATATACGAAGTACAATATATCATTGTTTCAAATCACACCTCTATTTGTAACTTGTATTGCCTTTAATTGTAATTCATTCAGACCCAAAAAATAAATACTAAGCTAGTTAAGAATTTAAGATCAATGAATAGAACAAGCTAATTAATTAAAGAGATAGATAGGCACTTACCTTAATCAAGTATGACCTTAGTATGTATGTAATCTGTCTGACTTAGCTTGCAAACAATAATGCCATGCTTGGCCACCTTTATATAGTGGGAGAAGATGTGATGGAGGCAATATTTAATTAATTGATGGATGATGTGATTCTTTGGGGCCTACAAATGCTCATCCGAAGGAGATTCTTAAACCGGATTCTCAAAACGTTTTGTTCTTTCAAATAAATTATACAATAATGTAAGAGAATTTTTTGAAGATGCCTCAATATATTACAATAGTAGAATTTCCTCTCTTTTTAATACTCCCAAAATTACCCGCAAGATCACTGATCGTCACCTTCGCAATTCTGCCTCAAACGACACGAATCGCCTTCTAATCTTCAACACGGTTGGTGAAAGGATTCGATGCATGGATTTAGATACGTTTTGGTCTCCTAATCTTTCTATTCCATCAACTAAATCATATTATCGCACGGTCGGGTCGTGTAATGGACTAGTTCTCATTAAGGTTTGTACGTTTTATAACAACAATTTTTTAATTAAATTGATGTTGTTCAACCCTTGCACGGGTGAATTACTTTATATCCCGTATTTTATACCCGAATATATGGAGTGTTATGATTTTGGGTTTGAGTTTGGGTTTTGGGTTTTGAGTTTGATTCTTCGACACAAGACTATAAAATTGCTGTGAGTAAAGGTAAAATACAGTCCCTTAACTTTTGTATTTGTGCACTTTTAGTCCTTGTTAACTTTTTTGTGCACTTTTGGTCCCTCTTCCACCACTTTAGGTGTTTTCTAGGCAAAAATTTAGGGACTATGCTGACTAAGCATTAGTTTAGGGACTATGAGTCAGCAAAATAGTTTAGGGATGTTGAGTCATCAATTGCTCAATTTTTATAAATATAATTTACACCTAGATAAAGCTTAATTTTTTTATTTTTTTTCAGAAGAACTATTAAGAAGGTGTAAATTTCTTTTAGTTTCTGATTGGGGCTGAAGTGAACTGATAATTGAATAGATTGAGATGAAATGAATTGTTTATGAGAGAAGAAAATTAGAAATTGAACTAAAGTGAATTGAAATTAAGCTAAACAAAACATGCCCATAGTTTTATTGGTGTAATAATAGTTGAATTATGGACAATATTTGAAATTCTTTCCATCGGATCTAAACTAATGGACAAAATATATAAATATTTCTTGTGCATTAGTGAAATATTACAATAAAAGCTATACGTGGAAAATTTTGAGTCGGCATCAATAGTTCAATACTAAACCGATAATTGGTCATGAACACAAAGCTCAAAAAATTAAATATTATGTGTGAAACCAAATATTTTGGGTCAAGAGGGTCAAGCGTAAGTCGAAACCTATACAAAACTACCCAACCCCAATTAAAATTGATCAAAAAACAGTTCTAATATTCAATCTTAAAATTTTGATCTAAGAATTCAAATTTCAACACTTAGGCCCTGTTCTCTTCACCTTCAAAAATAATATTAAGTAAAAATAATATCAGTTCAGTAAAAATAAGTTCAGTTCAGTAAAATTAATTTCAGTTCAGTAAAAATAATTTCAGTTCATCAAAATTCAGTTTTATTAAAGAATAATTATAATAGAAAATCAGTAAAAATGATTTCAGTTCAGCAAAAATAATTTCAGTTCAGTAAAATTAATTTAAGTTCAGTAAAAATAATTTAAGTTCAGCAAAAATAATTTCAATTTAGTTAAACAATTTCAGTTCAGTAAAATTAAGGTGAAGAGAACGGGCCCTTATTTTCAAATGGTGGTAACTTTATTAGGAACTCCATCTAAGAAAATCAAATGCAATAATAATTATTTATAGTATAATATCATATCCATTTAAAAAAAATAAAAAAAAAAATTAAACCACCCAAAAAAACCCTAATTGGATAAGAACATATCACATCAAACTAAAATAATTTAGATTATATAAACAAATTTCATATAAAATCACTGAACAAACATAATGTCCATAGATAGTCATATATATAAAAGACATGCAATCTATCAATCTATCATAACTTCAAGAGAGAAAAAAGAAAATTTACACCAAACTTAATAGTTCTTCCGAAAAAAATAAAGAAAATTAATTACTGAAATTTAATTTTTTTTTTTAATTTTAAAAGATTCCTTTTTAATAAATTTTGAAGGAAAAAAAAAAAAACAAAAAAAATATAAGTCATGGTCCCTAAACTATTGTTGACTCAACATCCCTAAACTATTTTGCTGACTCATAATCCCTAAACTAATATAATGCTTAGTCAGAAATAGTCCCTAAACTTTTGCCTAGAAAATACCTAAAGTGGTGGAAGAGGGACTAAAAGTGCACAAAAAAGTTGACAGGGACTAAAAGTGCACAAATACAAAAGTTTAGGGACTGTATTTTACCTTTACTCAAATTGTTGTACTTGTTATAGGTTATGATATTAACGTCTTAGTATTGTTTAAAGGCTAATTCTTGGAAAACAATTGACAATGCACATATTCCACCTTTATTAATGTTTATAGAAGACGGCCAAAATGGTGTTCTTATAAACAACCATTTACTTCATTGGAAATTATACTCTCGTGAGATGAAGTGACATAAAATTGGTTGTTTCGATTTATTGAAGCATGTACTGCTGCTGCCAGCCAGGATCAGCTCAAGTCAGCATTAGTGGCTTGCTTACTACATACACCTGAGTCAGAAGATGTGCCATGTCAGCAATTCGTGACTCAAGCATATTTGCCAAGTCATCAATCTGTGCATGGTAATACAAGTCAGCAGCAAACCTAACAAATTTTGTTATAGAGAAAGTAACAGAATTTGTCTTGTTCTGTAACTAACTTCCAGCTGGTTGTTAGAAGGTTGTTATTGGTTTGTAATAGCCTAGATAGTTCGATTACAGTAGTATAAATACTTGTAAACTTCTCTATTTTGTAAGATGATGGATTATTCTCCAAGTTTTCTGAAATGAATATAACTTCTCTTCTTCTCCCAAATTCTTTTCAATAAAAGTTTTCTTCTTGTATTCTGTGAATTTTATCATGGTATCAGAGCAGTAATGATCTGCAATTTTTCCGCAATTTTGATTTCAATTTTTGATCAATTGATTACTGAAGAAGAGTATCATTTTTCTTCAGATCTGATTCAAGAAGAATTTGATCTGATTTACTTTAGAATTCAAGAAGTTCTGACTGGTTTTGATTTGATTTCAAGAAGATCTTGATTGTTTTTCCAGCTTGATTTGAGATCTTCAATGGCAGGAGCGAATACTCTACCATTGATGCAGGATCCTTCGAGTGTTTACTTCATACATCCTTCAGAAATCCAGCAAATCCTCTAGTTTCAGACAAGTTTAATGGTGAAGGCTACTCTGAATGGAATAGAGGTATAATTCTTGCCTTAGCTATCAAGAATAAAGTATGTTTCATTGATGGTTCATTGCCTAAACCTACTGATGTTAATAGTCCTGAGTTTAAGGCTTGGGATAGATGCAATTCTATGGTTATGTCATACTTATTGAGGTCATTAGACACTGGTTTAGCAAAGAGTGTTCTATTTCTTTCTACTGCTAGAGAGATATGGAAAGATCTTGAGGATCGTTATTCTGTACTTCTGGACCACAGTTTTATGGATTACAGCAAAATCTGAGTGAAATTAATCAAGGAGATAGTAGTATTGCTGATTATTTCACAAAATTGAAGGTTATATGGGATGAATTGAGTAGTGCCAGTCCAGTGCCTGCTTGCAGCTGTAATGGTTGTACCTGTAATTTGACACAAAAATTCTTGAAAGTGCAGTAAGAAGAAAGACTGATTCAGTTGCTTATGAAGTTAAACAGTAAGCATAGTTCTGTCAGAACTAATATCTTGATGATGAATCCGTTGCCAAGCATTTCTATGGATTACAGACTCCTGGTTCAAGATGAGAAGCAGCAGCAAATGACAGTTCAATCAGAAGAGAAGTCAATGGCATTTGCTGCAGCAGAGCTTAAACATCATGCTGGAAATTATGCTGGTTATCAAGCTGGTTTTAATAAGAATTACAAGCAGAAAGTTATGGTTGGACAAGATAACAAGTTTATGATGCAGAATAGGCAAAAAAAATTTTGTGATCATTGTAAAATAGGTGGTCATACTACCAACAAATGCTGAAAACTGCATGGTTATCCACCTAATTTTGCAGGCAAAGGAAGAGGCAAGAAGTTTGCTGCTCTTGCTCAAGGTGAAGATGATGTCAGGCATATCTCAGCAGAACAATACCAGCAGTTTCTTGAATATTGCAAGAAATCAGAGACAGAACAGACTGAACACACTGCAAATGTAGCAGGTACTTGCTTAATCACTTGTTCTAATTCAAAGTGGATTATAGACAGTGGGGCTACTGATCACATTTGCAGTAATCTTGATTGGTTTGATGATTATGCTGTGTTTGATAAGACTGTTAAAACAATTACTATAGCAGATGGGAAGAAAGCAGAAATTAAACACATAGGTGATGTAAAAATTGGAAATGGTATAGTACTTAAAAATGTACTGCATGTTCCAGGATTTCAGTCTAATCTGATTTCTACACATAAATTGTGTAAGGATTTATCTTGTGACATAGTATTCACACATGATAAATGTCTGATTCAGGATCATTCTCAGAGATGTACAGTGGTTCTTGGTAAGCTTGAGTCAGGCCTGTATGCAGTATCTGATAAGGTTGATATAGAGAATAAGGAGTTTTGTTTGGACAAGGATCATGCAGCGCTTGTGTCTATGAGTGAAGAAATTAAGCTTTGGCATTTGAGAATAGGGCATTTACCATTTGAGAAGTTGCATCTTGTTAATAAGGCTTTGCCTAGTATAGGAAAGAACTGTGATGTCTTATGTCAAGTTTGTCCTAGAGCAAAGCAGTCAATAAAGTCTTTTCCTGTCAGTTTTTCTAAGACATATGAGTGTTTTGAGCTCATCCATGTTGATGTATGGGGGCCATATAAAGTAAAAACACATGACAGGTACTTACTTTCTTACAATTGTAGATGATTTTTCAAGGAATACTTGGACTTTTATGATGAGAAATAA